TATATTATTATTACTCGAATTAAAAGATTCTTATATAAAAACTTTCTTCTTCTATATTATTATTAGAAACTTTAATATTATATTATTTTCATCTAGTCTATTCTAAGATAAATATAATACTTTATAGATAATAGCGAGAGTTATAATAGTAATATTACTAAAAGTTAAATATATCTCTTCTTATTAATATAGATAGCTAAGAGTTAAAGAATTTAGAATTATAATAAAATTTAGATATATATAACTTAATAATAATATTTTAATTATTACTATATAAGATAGACTAAATTCTAGAGAATTTAATAGAAATATCTCGTAGATAATACGTTAGTAAGAGAGATTAGATCTCTATTATTAATATCTTTACTATACGTCTAATACTATCGTATAGTTATATTAGAGAAATAATTTTTATTTTAAAAAAAAAAAAAAAATTTAAAAATAGAATAATAAGACTATTAAACTATATATATAGATAGAAAGAAGATATAATATAGTAGAGGATGCCTTCGCCAAGGCCCGCTAGGCTATAGGGCTGAGTAGTATATTAAGGGTACGCTCGTAATACTACCCTCTCTCTTAAATAGTTATAGCCCCCATAACTAATAGACCGAAGATGTACGCTCATTGCTTACCCTATGTCTTCAAACATCCATAGTCCGTGTAGGCCTCGACCGGAGACGATTTGTCGAGGTGTGACGGTTCGAACATCGGATGGTTTCAATTCGTTCAAAAACACCATGTCCGAGGTTTTGCCGGATCGTATGCTGGTCTTGACTGTGTCATCCATCCCTGCCACAGAGATCCTAGAGATGTTGATTATATCTTGTCTGCGTGCCAGCAAGATTCTTCGAGTTCTTCTCCTTGCCCAGTCTGCTTGTCATAGTCCTCCACTTTTTTTTTTTTTTTTTTTTTTGTCTTCAACACCTGTTGGCAGCCTGGCCTGGGAGCTTCACTGTAGATTTGCCTTATGTCTCCCATGCTCTTACCATCAAGTCCATCCTCCGTTCCATCTCCTTTGCCTTAACTTATAGCCATCTTACTTCGTAGTGCTATCTATTACATCCATCCGCCTTATAAGCCTACCGCTTCGACTGTCGGTACCCCATAGGCCTACCCGTCTAAGCTGCCATAGCGAGTACTCAGCAGCTAATAACCTAACTAATATAAACCACTTCCATAAACTTAAGCACTTGCCAATTCGTGGAATTTGATAGAGAGGTGGAAAAAGAATCGAATATATTAATGTTGAATGCCATTTGGTAGCAGGCTTACTATATATATTGTCGACATGCTTAGTAAAGAGGTCGAATCGTAGTCGTTTCGGGGCTGTTCCCGTCGCCATTATAGTAGGCTTACTATGTGTATTATCGACATACTTAGTAAAGAGATCGTACTTTTACTACCTTTATAGCAGGCTCACTATATAGGATTTGTAATAATTTCTTTCTACTATCAATTCGCTAATCATACGAATAGTCCCTGTACCTTATTTATCCCTCGCCTACTATTTTAGCGAGGCCGTTCCGCTATCTCGTAAGGCTCTTTAAAATCGAGTTACCCGTCTAATAGGCTTACTTAGAGATACGATAGCTTAACTTAATATCTTACTAAAGCCCCTATCAACGTATTTCTTTAAATTCGTTCGCTAATTCGAATAGAGTAAGTTCGATTATATTTCTCTTCGTCGAGTATATAAAGAAGTCTTATTATAATATTAGAACTAGTATAGATACGATATTAGTATAAGTAAGATAGAACTAGAATAATAAGGCTATCGAACTATATATATAGAAAGGAGACATGATATAGTAGGGGATGCCTCCGCTAAGGCCCGCTAGGCTATAGGACTAAGTGATATATTAAGAATACGCTCGTAATAATAATTATATTAAACGCGTCCGAGATCGAATAATAATTCTTTCATCTATTTATATAATTATTATTTCTCTATTACTCTACTAATATAAATATATTTACTCTTAATACTCTTATACTGTTAGCAACTCAGCTAAAAAAGCTGGTTCCGAAGGTGTCTGCGCTTGACAGTTAGACACCCCTATTTGGACCTAAATACCTGCCCGCAGAGGCCCCGTAGGGCCTCCGTGGAGACTGTTTCTAACAATCTAACAATGCCTCCCCCTCTAGGGGGCTCGTCCTCGAGCTCCGAAGACAGACAGTGCAAAAATCGCAATGTTCCGGGGAGTCACTCCCCGAAAGATCCACGATCTTAAGGACAACATGCCCTGTGCTCCGGGGTTTACTCCCCCGAAGACTTCTAAATGCCCGCCATTGCGGGGCTTCAAATTGCCTCTGGGGTTTTTGCCCACGGGGCTACCAAGTGAAAGGCCTTTGGCCCCGCCTTCACACCGGTACATAATGTGGGAATGGGGCTGTATTCCGGGCCTGTGGCCCCGCCTTAGCGCACAGGAATCAAAGGCCTATGGCCGGCCTCGGGGTTTCTTTCCCGGGCGTCTGCTTGGGCTTTTTGCCCTGGGGCGTTCTGCCCGAAATGTCCTCGATGGAATAGGGCGTCCTGCCCGAAAATATTCGGCTTCGGGGCCCGCCTTCGGCGTGACTATTACCCGAGCGACCCTCTGAAAAAATCTAATTTCTGATTTTTGATGGGGGATTCAAGCGTTCTCGAACCCCCGACTCTCAAATTAATAACTAAGCGTGTCACCCTCGGCTATAGCTAGTATCGCTCCGAGGTAACTAGCCAGATTCTTTAAACTATCGACTTGAAATAAAGCGCAGACACTATTATTAGTAACTTAGCTAAAAAAGCTAATTTCGGAGGTGTCTACGCTTAATAGTTAGATATCTCTATTTAAATCTAAATATCTATCTATAGAGACTTCGTAGAGCTTTTATAGAGACTATTTCTAATAATCTAATATATACTTAATTAAATAAGAGAAGAATCTATAATAGATAAATATAAAGAATATTATAAAGAATATTATAAAGATAATTATTAGTAGTAGTAATATAATAGACTTATTCTCTATAATCTTATATTAATCTATTTAGCTAATATAAGAGAAGTTAATATAGTAAGCGAATATAAAGAATACTATAAAGAAATTAAGCGATAATAAAATTTTTAATATTAAGAATATAGCTTAACTCTCTAAGATTCTACGTTATATACTCTCTATAATTTTATATTAAATTATTACTTAATAAGCGAAGAATATTACTATAATTTAATTTATTATTCTTACTATATTAAGAAGTAAGAGAAGAAATTATAATAAATAAATATAAAGAATATTATAAAGAATATTATAGAGAATATTACGAAGAAATTAAGCGATAATAAGACTCTTAGTATTAAAAATATAACTTAACTCTTTAAGATCTTACGTTATATACTCTTTATAATTCTATATTAAATTATTACTTAATAAGCGAAGAATACTACTATAATTTAATTTATTATTTCCATTATATTAATATAGTATATTATTATAATAATATTATAAGAGAAAAATCTACTATAATAATTATAGTTAATTAGATCTCTATAAAAGAAATATTAAATAATATATATTTAAATAAATTAAAATTATTCGATATCTATAATTATTTTATTATTCGAAAAATTTTACTATAATAGAAGATATTATAGGATTTATATCACTAATTAATATATTATCTCTATTTCTTTTCGATATTTTAATACTTCTTATTATAAGAATATAGTCTTTCTCTATTTTTTATAAGTAATTATTATAAATTAATTCTTTATATTTAATAGACCTTTCTAATTAAGCCTTAACGCGCCTCTCTTCGTATATATATATCTATATATTATATAGTAATATAGATTAAATTAATTTTATAGTAATAAAAATAGATTAAAAATATATAGTAAGCGATTAGAGTTTAATTTAACTTAGAACTAAGACTAAAATTCGATTTAACTTAGAAAAATCTAACTTTATAAATTTAATTTATAGGCCTTTACTTATAATATAATAATAGACTATTAATCTTAGTCTATAATATTTTATAAATCTTTTTAATATATATTCGAAGGCTTTAATAAATCGTCTACTATACTTCTTTTTAATTCTTCTCTTCGATATAATAATTTTAAATTTCGCTATTAAGATCTTATATAACGTTTAATCTTTAATATATAGAATTTATATCGAGATTATAATCTTCTTACTTAAAAAAACTATAAGAATTTTATTTATATTTAATAATAATAGCGAGATAAAGAGTTTCGAGATATAATAGAATAGTTAGAAGATACTCGAATTCTCTATAAATATAATACTATTTTAAAACTATATAACGATATTATCGATATCGTTATTACGAGTAAAGATAAGAATAACGAAGATAAGAATAATAAGAATAAGAATAATAAGAATAATAAGAATAATAACGACGATAACGACGATAGAATACGTTATAACTAGTTACTTAATACTCTCGAGAATATATACTCTTAAATATAAAGCGAGTCTCGCTTAATCTTCTTAGAACGATTAATATTTAATTATAATATATATTTCTACTTAACGATATCTATTATAATTCGATATAATAATTATAAGATTATAGAGAATCTTATATATTCTAAAATTAATTAACGATATAATCTATTTCTTAGATATCGCTATAGAGAGGATTCGAAGAATTAATTAAATATAGTATCGTAAATATATTTAATTATAGCGATGTTCTTAATGTTCTCATAATGCTTGGCTAGCTTTTCACTACTAGGTAGCCTACGCCCCAGCATATATTTATTTAAATCCCTCTCGAATATCTTCTCTTAAAGTATCTCTTTAAAATATTTCTTAAAGAGAGCCTGTCCGCAAGTAAGCCCATTATTACTTTATTTGCCTTTACTAGAATCAGATTTCCTTCTCTTGACGCCATTGGTAACGTCAAGCTCTTCATGTAGAGACTCTCAACGTGCTCTACCACCCCGACCGCCGTTGCCAAGAACACAGCGCCAAGGTTACACGTTACACAACATGGACGCCTTTCTCCAACGTCTCTCCAGTCCCGCCGTCGCCATACCCATACTCCTCTTGCTCGTCTACTCCTTCTACAACCGCCTGACTGCGGTGTCGAATATACCAGCAACCTTACCATGGGTTGGGAGGAACCCAAGCAAGGTATTCGCCGATACCAGGGCCAATCTGGCAAGCTTCAGCAGCGTCAGGGAGTGGCTTGAGGTCGGATACAGTAAGGTACGATAGCTTCTAGATACACCAGGTCCATCTACTGTCTCGAGGTGACCGATTTGCACAGTATGGCAAGAAGAACATGTCCTACATCCTCCCTGACATCTCCGGCAAACCTCAAGTCGTTCTCCCACGCTCGCAAATGCCGTGGCTTCTCGAACAACCAGACAACATCCTCAGTACCTCTGCATTCCACTACGACACTCTCGAAGGCGACTATGCCTTCACCACCCCTCAGATCCTCAAAGATCCATACCATGAACACGTTATCCATAAATACCTACCGCGGCGGATCGCTCCCTTGATTCCAGATATGTGGGAGGAAATACAGGTGGCAATGGATCAGACATGGGGCAAGGATACAAAGGCATGGAAAGAGATTGGCATTTGGGAGAACATGATGAGAATCATACCAAGTATCACGAACCGAATGATGCTTGGACTGCCAATCTGTCGGAACGAAGATTTTTTGAAGAACATGGGCAAGTTCGCTATGGATGTCATATCCTCCGCTTCAATCTATCTGCGGCTGACACCTCGCATCCTCAAACCCATCATCGGACCTCTAATAACCATACCAAATACCCGTCACTGGCGGAATACGACCAAATACACTCTGCCAATCATCAATGAGCGGCTAGCCAATTTCAAGAGGAAGCAAGAGGATCCCAGCTTCCAATGGAATGAGCCAAACGACTACATAAGCTGGCACATCAATCTCGCCACGGCAGAAGGCCGGCACGATGAGCTAACACCAGATATGATCTCTCGACGTCTCATGCCGCTCAACTTCGCCGCCATCCATACCACTGCCCTGACCGTCACCAATACCATCTTCGACCTCCTTTCCTCGCCTTCCTCCTCGAACTGGCTAGAAGGCATACGAGAAGAGGCTGAAAGGGTATTGACGGAAGAAGACGGACAGTGGACGAAAGCCGGACTGGGGCGGTGCCACCGGTCCGACTCCGCCATTCGGGAAAGTATGCGGGTCAGCAACTTCATGACAAGGAATGTCTTGCGGAAAGTGATGCCCGAGGAAGGCATTGAGAACAAAGCGGAAGGGTGGCGAGCTCCCCAAGGCGTGTTGATAGGGGTGGACATGCACAGCGTCCAGCATGACCCGGAGATCTACCCAGATCCCAACACCTATGACGCGTTCCGGTTCTCGAGGCCTCGAGAAGAAGCTGATGCATCAACAGTGCACAGCGAGGTCAACGGAATCAAGAACACTGGACTAATCACCACATCGGATATCTTCCTTCCGTTCTCGCACGGACGTCATGCATGTCCTGGAAGATTCTTTGTATCGCTAGAGATGAAGCTGCTGCTGGCGTACATGGTGATGAACTACGATGTTGAGCCTTTGAAGAGTCGACCACCCAACATTTGGTTTGGCCAGAGTTCGTTGCCACCAATGAAGGCCACGATCAAGGTGAGACGGAAGGAAGGAGCGACGAAGAAATGATTGATGATACCCATGCCTAAATGCATCTCGTGCTTTGGGCACCCGGAGCTGGTGTTTAGGGGTTGTCCTAGACACGTAGCCATTGAGCGATCTAGCCCTGTTGCGGAGACATGAAGTGGGATAGTTTTCAAGCCAGCAAGCGGTAATGTTGTATAGCTTTCAACTCTTCAGACAGGAAATGAAGCTTCTCATTTGATTCTACAACCTATGTCATGCTCTCACTCACTCTCAGCTCTTTCACATTGACGATTAGGCTAATAGAGGAGCGCGACCTATCGCCAACTTAGGCTCCTTACTTCTCGCCGTTATGTCTTTTCTCGAGAAGGCCTCTAATGACGACCACCATTTCCACAAGGATGCCGAGTTCTAAAAAAACTATACTTGACCAACCGCATTTTCCGTGTAAGAGAATGTAGCATAGATCATGCATGGAGAGGGTTTAAATTCATAACATGAGACGGCTTTCTTTCTTTTCGATTGCGCACATACTTGTGGTTATCGACCAAAACAACTCGGCTTCTTCTCTATAAGAAGGGTTTTTCTTGCAGATGAAATAGCGAGTTTAGGATAAAATCTGTGAAAATGGCCACCTTTTGCTAGCATCACGCGTGGATTATACCACCCCTACAGATTTGCCCTGCAAATAATTTAAGGTTTTCAGAAAAGTTCGGTGTAAAGCGTCACTGTTTTGGGGCAACTGTAGGACTGCCACGATTTCATCAAGGCCTTTTACCCTTCATGCATTTTATATGCTACATTCTCTTATCTTTGGAAGACGTTTCACTGCTGAATCTTACTCAGTGCATGGCAATCGTAAGTCAAACAACGACAAACAAGTGAGCCGTTGAACGACTATACGATGGGTACATCAGGAAGCAACCTCTGGGTACGTGCAAGTCACACAGCATGGTCGATAGTCTCGGAACCCGAAAGCCAGGCACAAGCTCAGAGAAAGTGACGACTTGTAACACTGGAAGTTCTCCTATTCACAGAGATTATAGGTATCTCTCCGAAATTTATATCTGATATGGCGGACTCAGTACAACGGTCAGGCGAGGGGGAAGTTCTCCTGGTTGATGCTGCTCTTGTTGATGTTCCAGGGATTTTCTACTGCGTGAACTGCCGGGTTTACTGTCCTTGGCCAACCTGTACACTGTATACGGTACAGAGACTCTGTGAGCAAGAAACCTTCGCAAATTATGGTGGGTATGCATCAAACAGTGTTGCTGGCCTTCGGTAACCCTATAACATGCAACGCTGGTAGCCGACGATATGGGACAAGTCAGGTATCTTCCAAGATGGAGAGCCGGAACATGCAAGCTGTCGAAGCCTACGCGCCAACGTGCAATCGAGGGAGGAGAGGAAGTCACGACGTTTCTTAACCGATGTTGGGCAGCGATTCAACTCAGGTGGCTAGACTCTGCGTCTATTGAATTAACCTCAGTACTCTAGCTCAGAAGATTACACAGGATTCCCAAAGCTTATCGTCACTCCTCCTCGTTATCGTCTTTCTCATACTCATCATCCTCTTCGCTATCTTCATCATCCATGTTCTCGTCTTCGTCGTCGGTCTCTCCGCCCTCATCACTGAAGTACTCATCATCGGTATCTTCCCCTTCATCACTGCTATCATCATCGTCAGCGAAGCCAATGTACAGTCGCTCAGCCCTTTCTTTGTCGCTCCTTTCTGCTGGAAAGAATTCGTACCGACATACAGGACAGGTGTTGTGAGCTTGTAGCCAAGCGGTGATGCATTTAGAGCCCACCGTGTGCTTGGGATTGCAGGGCAAGCGGATCTGCCTCTCCGCCGTCCCGGTTTCGGAAGACCTTGCGCCATACTCTTCTTTACAGATCAGACATTCCTGACCCTCTTCCACTTGCACGCTATTCTCCCTCCTCAAGAGTTGGGAGACGAATTGTTTTCTGTCCATGGTGGGTCAAGAAAGATCTGTCTCCGAGTCAGGCTTATGTTGTAGAGTGTGAGTCAAGTGCAGGGTCTTGGGGATAGGAAGATAGAAAGGAGGGTACCACCTAATCAATAGCAGCACTCCAGCACTCAAGTCACTCAACTTTAAATGTTCTTTGTGTTCAAACAATCGTATTGCCTTTCTCCCGGGATTGTCCGTTACATCGTCTGTCATTGTTACATGTTGATCGGACAAGGCTTTGTGCAATTTTGATGTGGCGATATCATAGATGACAACCTCACGTTGGCGTCGATTTGAAGCCCATTTAGCACAGAAGGCTGCTCGCAATATTGCTCGATTCCGGTTCAACCAACAGGAGGTGCAGTGACCTTAGAAAGGGATCATATCAGCGTGCCTGTTACTAAATAAATAAGCGTCACCGCAGCCATGGCAGCTGCTCGGAGTGATTGATTGACAGTGCTATAGTATGAGTGCATGCGAATACAGTATTCCAAAAGGTCGGAGAACCGTCGTTAGAGATTGGATAAAGATCTAATATATGCTATCGCTTCCGATCCCCGGGTCATGGGTCATTTCGCAACATTCTTCACAGGCAAACTTCCAGAGGAAGTGACACGTTCAGCAGCTTCTGGTAGCTTGGACATTTGGGCTCTTCGCTCGAAATGCATGCGAAATCTGTTAACTGAATCCCAAAACATGAGTAGCCACGCCGCCTCAACCTGTCCGTTCGAGCAACATCAGCTGTGTTTCGTCAGATCATCCCACCACCACCACCATCGACTCTTACCAATACGAACTTCCCGTTGTTGACTCGTATTATGTACATCCTCCCGCCGCACAGCCTCGCCCCCACCTTTCCCTCCTTTCCCCTCCCCCTCCCACTCACTTTCCTTTTACAGATGTGCTCCCGAGGATAGAACGATTTGGGAAGCAAACTTCGTCTTCGTTACACGAATCAAAAGACTAGCGCACGGCCTCTTTGGTCTTCATCATAATCCACAGCAAAAAAAATTCATCCCCAATCCCAACAGCCGTTCCGCACAAACCCTCATCTGCGCCTTTTAAACACGGACACAGAGCATCTCACCAGCCAGACTCGTCTCGAGCCCTCGAGTCATATCATCAGCTTCCTTCCGCAGCAGGCAAGATGCTCCACATGCCGCCTTCTTTCCTCCCTTCTTCGCAGCCGCCGTGAAATTTCCCCATTCCGCCTATTCGCCAATTTATCATCCGTCATATAATAGTCCGCCTTGTCCATAGTGGCCTCACTCGAAAGCTGTAGTTGGCTTTGTCTCCAAACCCCACACTGCCAGAAAGTGCAAGGTGGATATTGTTAAAGAACGTAGAATTGATGATTGTTTTTCTCATGAGATCTCTGGACACCGTTCTACACACAGTGGTAAATCAAGTGTTTCGGAATACGAGGTGGCTGGCATGAATGGGTGATGACTGGGGGCCAAACTACAACAATTACGCCTACTCGTATCATGGATTTATCGGATTTAGATCGGCGCTAGTGCTGTCTCGCTAAACGTCCCACGAAAACTACACGCACAAATGAGTTCTAAATGATGATTGGCTGGGTCCTAAGGCCCAGCAGCATGTAGACAGCGGTCCACTATGCAGCTCAGCCCTAGGAAAACTCCCTCTACGTAAGGTAGAGGACCTGGAGTCTAAGTACAAGGAAACGCTGAAAAAACAAGGCGCGGGTGGGTGGGAAAAGTCCAAAAAACCTCTTCTTGCGACGAGAGGAACAAGAATGAGGAGCAAAAAACAGGTGGGAACACCGCCTATTCAAGGCTCTTCCAACATGGCAATCTCGGCTATCCTGCCATAAGTGTGTGCTGTGCCTCTCCCTCACTAGCCCCCAGTCAAGCTGTGGCGAAAAGCGGGGAATCCGAAAAGAGCACTATCAAGAATTCATATTCATTTCATATTCCATTTCTCGTCTTTGTATTTCATTCATCTTTTCTATCCTCAGATTAAGATACTTCCCCCTTTTTCACTCATCCTACTACAAAAAGGAGCCTGTTATCTTGTAGCTCTCAGCAAGATCCATTTCCTGTCCTCAGACAGACTATAGAATGGCGTCCAACAGCGCTGCGTGGCAAAACGCCGTGGGAGAGAAGCTTAACGTCCAATCCGCTCCATACACACCTCCTTCGGAAAACGAGATCGTCATCAAGAATCAAGCCTGGGCTGTCAACCCCATCGACTGGCTTGTGCAAGAGAATGCACTCTTCGACTGGATGAAATACCCTCTCATCACCGGATCCGACATCGCCGGCGAGGTAGTCGAAGTGGGCAGTGGTGTCGTGCGCTTCAAGAAGGGTGATCGTATCCTCGCAATGTCGATTGGACAAGATAAGAACAAGCCTTCTGAGGGGGCATACCAGCTGTACAGCGTCGTCCAAACCGTCTTGGCAGCACCGATTCCCGACAGCATGTCTTATGCCCAAGCCGCCGTCTTCCCTTTGGGTCTGTGCGTAGCCGCCTGCGGTCTATTCCAACAAGATCAACTAGCTCTCCAGCACCCCACTGTGCCTCCGAAGCCCACTGGAAAGACTATAATTGTTTGGGGTGGCGCTTCCTCTGTTGGTTCGAATGCCATTCAGCTTGCCGTTGCTGGTGGCTATGAGGTTTTCTCTACTGCCTCACTCAAGAACTTCGACCACCTCCAAAAGCTTGGCGCAAGCAAGATGTTTGACTACAACAGCAAGACCGTTGTCGACGATCTGGTTTCCGCATTAAAGAACAAGCAGTTCGCCGGTCTATTCCACGCGGCCGGATCATCTGAGGCCAGCTTCGAGGTGGTCGACAAAGCCACTGGGACCAAATTTGTTTCCTCAGCCCCGCCTATTCCCGAGAACAAGCCCGGCGGTGTTGAGGCTAACATGGTTTGGGGGAGTTCGCTGAAAGACAACGAGGTCGGTCCGGCGATCTTTGTTGACTTTCTACCAAAGGCGCTCGCGGAGGGTAAATACATTCCGGCACCCGAGCCTTGGATTGTTGGGAAAGGCCTCGAGTCCATCCAAGATGGATTTGAAGCACAGAAGAAGGGTGTTTCAGCGAAGAAGGTGGTCATTACCGTTTGAGTTTAGCATGGAGCAAGGTTTTTCAACGCCTCAAGATTCCCATACACTCCATATCGGAATCAATCGATGGGGCCATGAGTGGGAAGTGGAGAAGTCATCTTGTTGCGCTTTACTAGCTTCCAGAAACCCAGGTACTGCAAATGAAGCAATCTATCACTCAAACGAGAAGATGGCTGTTTCTGTTCCATTACTCTCCATCACTTGCTGATCTGGCTTACAATGATCCCACCGTGAGCGTTCAGAATCACGCTTTAGCATGACTTTCATACAGGCCGGCGTTGGGCACACTGGCTTCATTTACAGGCTCAGTCCATCGTTTGGCATGTCGGCTACGCAGGAGGTGGGTTTGGAGGATTTGCACCCTGTCTTACACTGAAGATAGCACCATGTACCAGGTCTTTGCAGAAGGTGCCCAAATCTGTAATGCGAATCTGCCCAGTGGAAATATGAATGACTTTTTCTTTACGCGCTTGGGAACCTTAATAAGAGGGTAGAGTCGTGCTATTAGGACACGACCAGAACCAGGTGGGGTCTTATTTTAAATATATTTTGTGGTCAAATGGCGGAAATAAGATGGGATGTATTTTTCGTTGTGCGGCAAGGACCAGATTTCATACACTTAGTGTAGAAAACGGAGCACTATCATAGCGTATCGAAAACCATTTGATCCTACTCATGCAGGACCCATCATAAGCACAGATGCCCAGCCACTGATATCATACAGTTTTGGACCCAAACCGGGAATTCGGCAACGCAGTCTTGTGTTATATTCCACCAATGTACAAGACTGTAAGACAGCAGATGGCAGACAATTAGATTCTCGCGGGCTTCCACACCAAGCAGATAGCAGAACCTCTGGATTTGATTGATGATTGAGCATAGATTATTGGTTTAGCGGGCATACCGTCTACTTTGCGAAGAACCCAGGACAGAGAACAAAAGAAAAACATTCTCGTAGCCTTAATCGTGGACTTCGTGGTGACCGCCAGACACTAGAGCAAGACCCGGGACTACCGAGGTACGAAGTAGATATGTGTGGAGCACGATTATTTAGCTGAAGGAAATACTCGCAAACATCACTTCACCCCAACGACAGGCTGCGCAACCCCATTGAACAATACGCCACTAACAGCCAAGGCGTTGCCCGTACCCTCCAGTAAATCAGCCTGGGTCAACAATTTGCAATGAACGCCAGCAGCGTACTGCAGGAATGAGACACCGTGACAAGGTGTTTGCGACAAAGCGGCGTTGATGTTGCTGCATTTCTGAATACAACCTTCCAGATCCGGCTCGTCGAGGTCGACGAATGAGCGTCCTGGGTAATCCACGGAGCATCTCAGCTGATATTGGTCGCCGGAGGACGTGGTAAAGGTTGCGTTGTTGATGGTGGGGCAGCCGACTGGGGAGATTTGCGTGCCGACTGGTTGGAAAGGGGTGATGGTTGAGGTGTTACTGACGGGAACGGAGCTGGAGGAAACATTAAGAGGTAAGCGAGGTTGTCCGGAGGCTGAGAGTGGCGGGGCAGTGCCTGTTAGAAGAGTGGCAGGTAGAAAAGTTGAGTTCAGAGTCGGAAATGGTACGCGGACGGAAGGTCTTGTTGCGTTCAAAGTCAAAAACGGTAAGCGATCAGAAAGTGGGAAGGTTACTCCTGTGGGTATTAGCGCGCTACCCGATAAAGAAAGGGTCCTGTTCGTTCCGTTGAATGTTGGTAAGGAAAGGAATCCCGTAGTTGGAGACAGGGGTCTGCCTGTTGCATTCATGGAAGGTAGAGGCAGACGGCCGGAACCCGTTGTGTTCAAGATCCGCGGGGGCAAGCGGCCGGATAGTGAAGCGTTAAAATTGGTTGTCAAGTTCACGGTTGGCAACGGGAAGAGGCCAGGTCTTGGCAGAGTCAAGTTTGCTGAGGAATTGGCCGTTGGCATAGGCAAAAGGCCGGATCTTGGCAGGGTTGAGTTCACCGTCATGTTCATGGTGGGCGAAGGCAGGAAGCCCGACCTTGGCAAGGTAGGATTCGCGGTAAAGTTGAAGGTCGGCGTTGGGCGACCAGAGATAGGGATGATAGAGTTCGCGGTACTGTTGACACTTGGAAAGATGCCAGCAGGGATTGAGGTAGAGATTGTGGTAATGTTCAAAGTAGGGAAAGGGCGACCAGAGAAAGGGAAGTTTGGAATGCTTGTTGGGACTAGGCTCCCTGGTAGTGGATAGCCCAAACTTGGTGTAGAGACGGTTGAATCAGAGACATTGTGGCTTGCAACAGGCAAGGGCAACACAATGACCGTGGCTGTCAGTGTCGTCGTTCCACTTGTGATTGTGGTGGTTCCGAGGGCCTCCAAATCGAAGCCGTTGATCGTCCTTGTCTGTGCCTCTCGTTAGCCAGTCCTTCACATTTCCTGGAGAGGGACTGTTCATACAAACTGTATAGTTGGCTGTGCAGTGACCGTGCTGGACGTGATCGACAGGCACGAACAGGCACTATAAGCCTCTGCGGCAATCGAGGCATTTTGCGCGATGTTCGGAAATTTGGTGACGATGGGGTCATCAGCGGTCGCAGTTGCTATGATGGGTACAGGAGCGACGACGAAGGGCACGTCAGACACATTATCTTGGCGTTTATGTAATGTATCGCCGCTCGTGATGGTCGTGGTGGTGAATGCTGTAAATTGGGCGACGGTGACTTTTACGACTGTATCGTAACTAGTTGTCGTAACAGTGGAGATGGTGGTACTGCGATTCGTCAGTGTTGGCGCAATCTAGGGTACGCAGGGCACACGTGTGAGATATCGTAGGTCCTTCCAAGGTCGTAGAGTCGGAGATGGAAAGTAGAGAAATGCAGTACGGTACGGAATCGGCTATATTTAATTGAAATGAGAGAAGAGTGTCTGTCTCGTAGCAGATCTCGCGCTGCTGGAGGCCTTTCAATCCGGGGAATGCTAAGGAGGAGCAAGAGAAAATGAAAAGAAAAATCGAGACTGTTGTCGCGTACGGAATCATCATAACGTCAGTTGGGTTGAGCACTGGGAGGTCCGAATCAGCAAAGGAAAGGAAACCTCCCACTATGTATACCTTGGAACACGCGTGCCTGGAATGGAACAAGTACGCGGTCGCATTCCAGCGCCTTACATAATACGGGCCTTACGTGGCTTCGGTCCCATCATATGACAAGATATCAGCGCATAATAAATTATAAACGGCCGCCGAGTCAATGCAAGGGGTCTGTCCGCCCAAGCTCCACCTTGGCGAGCCAGGACATGGTCTCAGAGTTCTGACTTTGGAGGCAACCACTGGGACTGTCGTGACACTACAAGTCCCTTCCGACATCCACCTATCATCACATCGCGACAGCAGATTCACCCAGCCCGTTAACGGTACCCTCCAAAGTTGCGATCATGATTCCTTGTTTGCCAATCTTTCCCTCAATGCACCTATTCCCCATCGCACCTTTGAAGCTGACGTTCTCGAAAGTAGCTACAGCACCTGGCCATGACTCCCATACATCGTCGAGGCTCACTGCCTCACTAGCGCCAATGTATAGGTTCGACGCTGTGGTGTTGGCGATTGTAAGCCCATTGATGGTTATGTTTGTGTTCCCATCCATAGGGTTATCACCATCGCCATGAAGCATGACTGCAGCGGCTGCTTTGCTGAGGTAGTTACAGTCACGGACAGTGTTGTCGATAATGGTGAGTTTATGCACGTAGTCTGCTTCGCCCCAGGAGCTAAACTCCGGGCCTAGGTCTAGATCGCCGTACGCGACACCTTCGAAGAAGAGATTGTTGGCAATTAGGCCATCGGAGGCTTTGATATTGGCGCCGCGACCTCGATTTCCGGTCTAGATGACATTAGCTTAGGAGAACGGCAACCGGTGGTGGAAGGAGGACGTACGGTATGCGTCTAAGAGCGATCCAGTATGCATCATGAAGTTGGGAAGGTACTGCTCACATTCAGAACGTTGAAATCAGAGCCAACCCTCATTTGATTCGTCCAGTACGCATTGTCTACCACGTCTTGAACTTCTTGAGGAAGATAATTCACCGTTATCTCAAGAGGAGTAGACTGAAGGCTGACGCTTGTCACTGAAGCATTTCCGAGAACGTCGTAGTTTCCATGGGAATAGAAGCGAAGAACATCCCCAGGGACAGCCTCTCCCGTAAGCAAGATGAATGAGTTGACAGATGACCCCACACCTCGCATTTCGGATAGTGACCCATGTACAGCCATGCAGTCATCATCCAGAGCAGAAAGAAGGCACGAGTCAAACGTCGGGCCAACATATACACCACTGCTGTGAATCCCATCTGCAGAGCTGGAGCGGGCTGGAAGTTGAGTGCCTCGCTAAGGGAGGAAAAGATGCGGATTTCAGGGAGAATGAGTTAAAGGTCGTTTTTCTATTGGCGCCAGAGAAGAAGCCAAAACCCGCGCAATTGAGTAAAGTAAAGTCGTTGATGATGGTATTGTTGCTGTTGGTGATTTGATTACAAAATATGAACTCTCCACGTGCGAGAAGCTTATAACCTGTAAATGGCGTGAAGTAGCTGTTCAGTAATGCCACGCTGTATGTTTTCGCTTGTCCACTGACAGGGCTGGGAATTCCGGTGACAGTACTCCAGCCCGGGCCAGCCTGGAGTCGACCAGTGCTGGGATGGATGTACTCGGCGTTTAGTTGTCCAGTAGTCGCGTTGAAGAGATACGAAGAATTATAGCCATCGTCGAGATGGAACCCTATATTGTTTGTAATTGTTATTCCCAGTATTCTTGACTTCCGTTATTGTAGCTTGAGAAAATCCAGGCGTGTCCCACCAGACCGTTGGGCCGTAGGTGATGAGATCGGAGCACTCGTAGAAGTTGAAGGCTGTAAGTCCAACCTCCGTCATGGTCAAATTGACAGAGTCCATCCATATCGTGACACTTGCTAGTTTTGAGAAGAAGATGTGCGCCTGAGGTCCAGGATTCACGTGGTATGAGCCTTCCGCTAATGCTAGAGTCCTACTGCCTTTGCCAACTTCCTCTAATATCCATTCCATGAATTCCTCGCCGTCCAAGACTCCAAATTTGGTTGGGGAATATGTTGGGATATCTTCTGGGCGAATTTTCGAGGCCTGTGGTCCCAGGGCCGAGGCCAATCTAATCAAGAAGCAGACAAGGTGGAATACCCTCGTGGTGTTCGATCAACAAACAGGTTTGCTTTCGGCAATCAGGTATAGATAGCAAAAGCACTCGAGAAGCTAGAATTTAGATACAAGGTCTGGCAAGCAATGTGGTGTTGTTTTAGGGTGAATGATTCTGGTAAACAGAGGGTGTTGCAGGTCCAGCTGCCAGTGAAGGAAACACCGTTGCAGTCGTAGCATAAGAATATTGGCGATGAATTCAAAGACCAGACCTCCACGAAGGATAGTTAAGGGGAGCGGGCGGTAAATTGCAGCGGAGCGGAACGGTGAAACGCGGAAGAGGAAACCTCGCCTCTGATTGGAGCGGGTGTTAGGTCTCACAGTGTGCCCAGATTGGAAACGAGATTGTGCGATGGGCCGGGTACTATGGTAAGTGGAGTGTTTTGGGGTTCGTGTGTGTTGCGTGTTCAGACCCAAAGATAAGACCTTTGCCTCCCTGTACTGGATTGTCGAATACCCCAGTGTAGTTCTCTCGGAGGACTGCACAATCACTACCATCCTGTGTTTGAACTTTATTCTCCATGATTTGAAGTGACTTTTGAATCCAATATGCGGCAGACGGGCACCATGTCAGCCTTCAGATTCGGAAGGTGTTTTGGATTCTACGGCTTCCAAATGGATGGAAAGAACCTGACAAGATCATCAACGAACTCTTCCGGCTTCTCATAGGCCGCGAAGTGTCCACCGCTTTCATGTTCTTGCCAGAAAACAACATTGGCCTTTCTCTCGGCCCAAGATCGAGGAACCATTTCTGCCTCCTTCGCAAAAGCGCTGACAACTGTTGGGGTTTCCAAAAATTTGTCGGCATCTGCTCCGCTCATCATTTCGGTAGCACTATTCTCCCTATAAAATGTAAAAGCCTCCCGTTGGTCCTGGGAAGTGATGCAGTAGTGTCCAGGTGATCAATTCAGTCGGAGAGGAGACCAGGGATATGAGTCAGACCATGTGAACAGCTTATCCGCCATCCATGCTAGCATGGCGACTGGAGAGTCATGCATCGCGCATCCAAGAGTGCGAGGTTTGGTATTCTGTACGAGGTAGTAGGCGAATTCATTTGTATCAAAATGTTCGCGCTGTCGGAGAGAGCGTTCCTCGAACTCCGTATACTCAGGCTTAGAGTTATAGTCTGGCTCGGTCAATGATAGAAGGTTGACATGGAGCGCCTTGGCAGACTCTGGGTAAGAGTGGGCGATTGCCCAGACAATCATCGCGCCCCAGTCTCCGCCTTGCACCACGTACTCGCTATAGTGGAGCCTCGACATGAGTTTGTGCATCACCCCTGCATCCTGCCTGTGCTTGAAGCCAGTCTTGTTTGGGCAAGAGGAGAAGCCGAATCCAGGAACGGAAGGAGCAACGACGTGAAAGGCAGCTGCATTGAGTTTTGGGAGAGCTTTGCTTACTCCTTGAAAAGAGCCAGGCCAGCCATTCTATTCAAGCGGGCCTCCTCGTCCCGCCAACTGTAATGATGGCGCCAGTAAGTGATGGTATCTTCCATCACCGTGAGAGTGACACCATTCTGTTCAGCCCATGTTCGCCGGCGACGTTTGAGGGTAAGCGTGTCAGCTCGACTTGCGCTGGAGAAGGTCCAGCTCACTGTCTGTAATGGCAATCTGGTAGGCGTAAGCCAAGAATTCCTTTCTTGGCACCCTGCGCGTACCTTGAATGGTTTGATAGCGGTGGTGGCGTTGTCGGCCATTTCGCGAGTGTGACTTTACGGCTACAGCTGACGAGATGCTGATTGGTATCCAGGGCGATATTTGATAATCGCATGACCTTTGTGGTGGATGAGTCAAGCTTGCAAAGGACATCAGAGTCCCAAGTTCGATGACTCGAATTGCGCTTCGATGCCATCGATTGGGAGAGAAGGTACCTTAGGTTGATAGGTTTTTGAGTTAAGAGGGGTTTCTCCGGGGTGTAACCCCCCGAAACCCCCTAAAGTCTACCCATCAGATAATTACGTGTAATACCTTTTGGGGTAACGTCCATGATCGGATAACGAGAATGACTGGGCTTCGAGAATCTTGGCATACTAACATTAGCGCATAGAGATAATTGGTCAAATTTGGTAGGGCTACCACTAGTGTTCTCCATAATAAAGCTGCTGCTAGCCACCTTTCTCCGCTATTTCAGTCCATAAACTATGTGTAATGTAGTAAAACAAGGGAAGTGATACACGTACACCCCCTTTTTATACATGTACACCCCCTTTTGATACATGTACACCCCCTCAGATCCGATTAGCTTCCGCGCGGCCGCTAGCCGCATAAGGTATAAACCCCGCACATAGCTTACTGGGGAATATTGCCGAGACTAGCGATGCGACCGCCAAGACTTTTGTCTGCTGCAGACATGTCTGCGGACGGTCATTACGGTCACGAATAGGAGGCCTGACAGCTAACCCGATTAGGTAGTGGCTTACACTAGTGTACTACCTTTCGTCTGATGTTTTGAGGCTACTTTTCAAGGTTTTTTCGGAGATTCCAGGGGTTTTGAAATGAAAATTTCGGCTATCAAATAACGGTATTCATGAAAGATGGCCGTACCACGAGAGAAACTAACCTTGGCTGCATCATTTCCATGCACTGTGATGTCGAATGCATTGCGGACGGTATAGTCAAGGGGTCTGGGAGGCATACTAATGGATATATAGAAGAATATATATGAGAATGTTGATATTTGGCTTGTTTCTCTACAGGATCTCTGCCCGCAGACCGCCAAGACCTCACTTTGGAGCATTTTCAGCCAATCAAATGGCTTAGTCACGCTCGGAGGAACTTCTATCCGGAGATTACAGAGATTACAGTGCTAACGGCCAAAATGTGGTAATTACTGTCATTACTGTCACGAATGCATTCTGACGGTCATCGCGCATCGCTAGCCGAGACTCTTGGTGGTAAGTAAGGCAAGCCTTCCCAGACCTCTCCTGATAAAGTCTAAAAGATCAGACGGTTTCAAATCGTCGAATGGTGAGGTCTTTGGATTGTCCTTCTATGGCGATAGCTGATTGGCTGGCTACATCTGCAAATCTGAAAAGTTCCTGCAAAATTTGAAATTGCTGATCGCGCGTTTGTCGCGGAAATCACAAAATCCGTCGGATCAGCAAATCTGATTAGAATCCGCCTAAATTCCGCCGGTTTAGTAACTATTCTAACCTTTTCTGTCAGTTCTATCAATTTAGCAATAATATATATAAAAAAGAAAAGTTCTAATAATTAACGTTGCGACGATAAAGTTCTATAACGATAAGTATTAACGTTAACTTAAATTTAATTATAGAATTAAACGATTTAATAAAATTAGTCGCGTAGATAATACTCTAATATAGCGTATAATAATACGTATATTAATAATAATATATATTGATATTATATATATATAGAATAGTACTTAAAGTATATTAAAGTATATTACGTAAAATTTTTAAAGTTATTAAAAAATTTTTAAAGTTACTAAATTAATAGAATTAATGAAAAGAATTAGATATAGATAAAGTTTACTTAATAGGCTAAATCGTATTAAATCGTGCTTATAGTGCGAACTCGGCGGAAATCGTACGAAAAGAAACTTTTCAGATTTGCAGATATATCCTCTCTCGTTACTACTAGAAATATAACTATCGTACTTAAATATTTACTATCTATTAACTATCTATTCTTTCTATAGCTAAAAGATATTAAATATAATCTCGTTATTCTATATATAAGCTCGCGTATTACGTCTACCTCGCTATTAATTACCTCGCTATCCGCCTTATATAGCTCTATCTCTTTCGACTCTACTCTAGCTATATATAAGATTTATATCTTATACGGCTAGCGGCCGCGCGGAAGCTAATCGGATTTGAAGGGGGTATATATATATTAGAACGGGGTGTATATATATATAAAAGGGGGTGTACGTATATTATATTTCTAAAATAATAAGATATTTATCTATAAAGTAGTCTTTATCTATAAATCTAAAAAGTTCCTTTCCGTATAATTTCCATCGAGTTCGCACTATAAGTACGATTTAGTACGATTTAGTTTATTAAGTAGACTTTATCTATATCTAACTCTTTCCGCTAGTTTCGCTAGTTTAGTAACTTTAAAAAATTTTAATAACTTTAAAAATTTTACGTAATATACTCTAAGTATTATTCTATATACGGAGTATATATAATATTAATATATATTATTATTAATATACGTATTATTATACGCTATATTAGAGTATTACTTATATAACTAATTTTTATTAAATTATCTAATTTCGTAGTCAAATTTAAGTTAATATTAATACTTATTATTATAGAACCTTATTATTATAACGTCGATTATTAGAACTTTTCTTTTTTATATATATTACTATTAAACTAATAGAACTAATAAAAAAGATTAAGATAGTTACTAAATCGGCGGAATTTTTAATTAATTTTTAAGATAGTTATTAAATCGACGAAATTCTTAATTTCAGCCCTATTCGTAAGATTAGTAATTTGAAATTTAGTAGAAACTTTTCAGATTTATAGATGTTTAATAGATTTATATAATAGTTAATTAAGTTAATTAAGCTCTTCGAAGAATAAATCGCTTTATATAGAGAACGTCGCTTAAATACGACTATTTTTCCTTTTAAATTAAACTTTATTATTTTATAGAAAGACTCTTATTAATAAATCTATACTATATACGATTAGACTATTAAATTTTATATATACTTATTAAGATTCTCGAAGCTTAGTTATTTTCGTAAGTTGATAATCGTTTAGACGCGAGATAAGGAATATTCGCTAAGTTAGCTACTTCGAAGTAGAGTAATATTCGCGCTTATATATTAATTACGAAATTTTCGCGTAAGATTTAAATAACTTATAAATATTAAATATTAAATATTTAATAATACTTTATAAAGATTTCGAAAATTTCGAAGTATTTTTAAGATTATTTTAAGTTAATTATAGAACTATCGCGAAAATTTCGAATTATCTTTTAAAGTCTCGAAATTTTCGAGTTAATAATAATAGAATTATCTCGAAAATTTCGAATTATCTTTTAGAGTCTCGAAATTTTCGAAATTTTTAAATTAATAATAGTATTTTTAAAATTATTTTAAATTAATTATAGAATTATCGCGAAAATTTCGAATTATCTTTTAAAGTCTCGAAATTTTCGAAATTTTTAAATTAATAAAAGTATTTTTAAAATTATTTTAAGTTAATTATAGAATTATCGCGAAAATTTCGAATTATCTTTTAAAGTCTTAAAATTTTCGAATTTTTTAAATTAATAATAATATTTTTAAAATTATTTTAAGTTAATTATAGAATTATCGCGAAATTTTCGAATTATCTTTTAAAGTCTCGAAATTTTCGAAATTTTTAAATTAATAAAAGTATTTTTAAAATTATTTTAAGTTAATTATAGAATTATCGCGAAAATTTCGAATTATCTCTTAAAGTCTTAAAATTTTCGAAATTTTTAAATTAATAATAGAATTATTACGAAAATTTCGAATTAATAATAATAGAATTATTTCGAAAATTTTAAGATAATTATAAAGTTATAACGAAGATTTTAAAATATTTATAAATTTCGAAAATTTCGAGTTTTTATAGAGAAATTTCGAAATTTTCAAAATATTTATAAATTTATTATAAAATATTATATATAATAAAGATATAATAAATAAATAACGTTTATAATATCTATAAATTATAGATATTTTTAAAAATAGAATATCTTATATAATAGATTATAGTATTTTATATAATAAAGAAAAAAGCTTTAAAATATAGAATAAAAATAAAAAAGTAGATTTAATTTTATAGTATCTATATATATATTAAAATAAAAGAAAATATATTTATAAATCTAAAAAGTTTCTTTTTATACGATTTTTATCGAGTTCGTATTATAAGTACGATTTAGTATAATTTAGTCTATTAAGTAGACTTTATCTATATCTAACCCTTTTTATTAATTTAATAACTATTTTAACTCTTTTCGCCAGTTCTATTAGTTTAGTAACTTTAAAAAAATTTAATAACTTTAAAAATTTTGCGTAATACACTCTAATACACTCTAAGTACTATTCTATATATATATGATATTAATATATATTATCATTAATATATATATTATTATACGCTATATTAGAGTATTATCTACGTAATTAATTTTATTAAATTATTTAATTTTATAGTTAAATTTAAGTTAACGTTAATACTCGTTATCGTAGAATCTTATCGTCGTAATATCGATTATTAAAACTTTTTTTTTATACGTATTGCTATTAAACTAGTAGAACTAATAGAAAAGATTAGAATAATTACTAAATCGACGGAATTTAGATAGATTCTAATTAGATTTACTAAATTAATAGAATTTAGATAGATTCTAATTAGATTTACTAATTCGGCGAATTTTATAATTTTCGCGATAAACGCGCGATTAGCAATTTTAAATTTTATAGAAACTTTTCAGATTTATAGATATAATAAATAAATAAAAATAATAAATAATAAAAATAAGTAAGTATATTAATAAGAAAAAGAATTCTTATTTTATATATATACTAATATATAGAATAATTATTAATATTTACTTCTAGAGAATATAATTTTTTTTTTCTCAAAATTTTTTTTAAAAATTTTTTTTTTAAAAATTTAAAAAAAAAATAAAAAAAATAAAAAAAAAAATTTTAAAAAAAAAAAAAAAAAAAAAAAATTAAAAAAAAATTTTTTAGGAAAAAAAAAAAAAAAAAAAAAAAAAAAAAAAAAAAAAAAAAAATAAAATAAAAAAATTAAAAAAAAAAAAATAAAAAAAAAAAAAAAAAAAAAAAAAAAAAAAAAAAAAAAAAAAAAAAAAAAAAAAAAAAAAAAAAAAAAAAAAAAAAAAAAAAAAAAAAAAAAAAAAAAAAAAAAAAAATATTAATAAAAAATAAAAAAAAAAAAAAAAAAAAAAAAAAAAAATTTTTAAAAAAAAAAAAAAAAGGAGGGGGGGGGGGGGGGGGGAAAGGAAGAAAAAGAAAGAAAGGGAGAAGAAAAAAAAAAAAAAAAAAAAAGGCAAAAAGGGGGGGGAAAAAAAAAAAAAAAAAATATTTTTAAAAAAAAAAAAAAAAAAAAAAAAAAAAAAAAAAATAAAAGGGGGAGGGGAGGGGGGGGGGGGGGGGGGGGGGGGGCGGGGGCCGGCCCCCGGCCCAGAACGGACAAAAAAACAAAAAAAAAAAACAAAAATAAAAAAAAAAAAAAAAAAAATAACTTATTTAATAAATTTAAAAAAAAAGGAAGAGGGGTTGAAAGAAATTATTAATAAAAATTATTTAAAAAAAAAAAAAAAAAAAAATGTTTTTTTTTATTTTTTTGGCCATCCATATTCTAAACCAGGTTTGCTTGCCTCCCCTCAGGTAGGTCAATTAAAGGCCCAAAAACAACCGAACAGTTGCCTCGCTGGATTGTCATTGAGCTGCAAGAAGTCTCGTGTCGATCCTGCACCTCGCAGACACCAGATGAGGACCAATCAGCACACAGGATCACAGATGCGTCTACTAACCAATCGTAATGAGCCACCTTTCAATCCAGGAGGAGCATTAAGCTTGCATGGAACTAGAAAAGCTCTTCGTAAAATCTCCCTGGCCCTAATCTGTGGCCTCGTCTTGGTAATCACTGCTGTGATTCTGTACTGTATCAGGAACATGGGCCTCGTTCATGTTCTTTCAGTCATCTTTTCTGACTTGTAAGATCTTATGTATAGCCGTTTTCTGCAGCTATGCGGTTTTTACTAGTTAACCTCATGACAGCCGCTTTGCGGAGCCTCGGGAATGCTGCTACCACTACTCCCAGTACATTTGACGAGCTACTCGACTCATTAGGTAGCCTCGGACAGGGCAAAGAAGTCACCACATTTAGCTCAAACGGTCATTTGGTGACCGCCGGTACCACCAGCGCAGGTAGTTCATGTGCAAGAACTGTGAGACCTCATGCATCGCTTCATAGCCTTTTCATCTCAAGCGTCCACTGACCGTTCCTTCCAAAGTGCAACCTTCTAAGCACCATCTTTCCTAATACCACAAGCCAGATTGGGAGCCCATCTTACAACCAACAAGAAACCACATATTGGTCGAACCAACAAGCAGAAACCCAGCCAACATGTCGAATACAACCACAGTCTGCGCTCCAGGTCTCTGCATCTCTCCTCATCACCAAGTCCTTCAACTGCCAATTTGCAGTGAAAAGTGGAGGTCACGCTATGTTTGCGGGAGCATCAAATATCCAAGACGGCCTGACGATCGATTTGGCCAACCTCAACCAGATCCAGGTATCGCAAGACAAAACTCTGACCCATGTTGGAGCCGGTAATCGTTGGGTCGATGTTTATAGTCAGCTCGATCAGCAGCAACTGTCCGTCATTGGCGGCCGAGTCGCCGGTATCGGCGTTGGCGGATTGACACTCGGCGGTATGTCGCAGGGGGGCCTCGCAACATCCGCTGGAGATGACTGACAGAAGACAAAGGGGGAATCTCATTCTTCTCCGGCCGTCACGGGCTCGCGTGTGACAACGTCAGAAACTACGAGGTATATAGATCGACCCCAACTTCCTACCCAATACATCATCAAGTCATCTCAAACCCCATAATAGGTCGTCCTCGCGAACGCCTCAATCGCCAACGTAAACCACACCTCGTACCCAGACCTCTACTTCGCCCTCCGCGGCGGCGGCAACAACTTCGGCATCGTCACCCGCTTCGACCTCGAAACCTTCCCCCAGGGCCCCATGTGGGGCGGAGCGCGAACCTACCCCATCACCGCCGCCGCCTCTCTCATCAGCGCCTTCGACAACTTCGCCGCCAACAGTCCCTCAGACCCGGACGCCGCCCTCATCCTCGCATTCTACTACTACAACGGAACCTATTACGGCAGCACGGACATGGAGTACGCCCACGCGGTCGTCGATCCGGCCATCTTCCGCGAACTCACGGGCGTGACGAGCCTGGCGTCTACGACGCGGATAGCGAACCTGACGGACCTGACGCTCGAGTTCGAAGCATCGAACCCGAGCGGGTTCCGCGAGACGTATTTCACCGCGACGTTCAAACCGAGTGCGGTCCTCGAGCGGGAAATCCTCGACATATACATCGGCGAAGTCGAAGGCATCAAGGACGCCGAGGGCCTTCTGCCGGCCGTGGTATTCCAGCCGATTACGAAGGATGTCATCTCCTATTTTAGCAAGAACGGAGGGAATGCGTTGGGGATTGCGGAATCTGATGGTCCATTGATTTGTGAGCTGAACCTTTTTTTTGCTTGCTTTTGCTCACATGTGGCAGTGGTTGATATTGCCATTTCGTGGTCTTCCCCATCCGACGACGACCGCATTATGGCCGCGGCCAGCAGCTTCATTGACCGATCAACTGCAGCTGCAAAAGGGATGGGTCTGGATTACAAGTTCATCTACCAGAATTACGCCGCACAGGGTCAAGATGTCTTCGATGGGTATGGAGAGGCGAATAAGCAGCGCTTGATCGAGATCAGCGAGAAGTATGATCCGGAGCGAGTATTTCAAAAGCTGCAGCCGGGATACTTCAAGTTGGAAGGATGAGATGGGGATTGTGGTGTAATGGTCTAGACTGTACTGCTCTAGACAGCATCTGTACATGTTATGCAGAGGCCATGACCACAGCTCTACCAGCCAACTGCCCAGCACCTATCTTATCAAATATCTCATCGATATCATGCAGTGTGTCATGAATCCGAAGTGGTTTCACGAGCCCCCTCGCCAAAATCCATGCTTTCATCAACCTCCTTCAACTACTCCGTCATGATACCCACAATATTCAGTCTTTGGGTTACCATGACGCGCGGATGAGCCCCAGCTATCAGAGTCGAGTCGGCCGGAATACCAACCACGACCAAGGTCCCTCAAGGTCGCAACAGAAACGGCGCAGTCGCATAATCCTGCTTTGATGTAGCAAAAACAGCAACACGTTGCGCGGCGTAAGTCGTGATGCGCAAGACCTCTGCGGGGATGTCCTGGGTGGATGTATCATCGATGCAATGCTCAGCTCCCAGAGACAAGCACAGCTTTTCTCTCTCCGCACCACCGTCCACTGCGATGACTCGCATCCCATTGTTTTGGCGTATGGTATAGCCATATGTCCTAGGCCTACTCTGACGTCTATGACCACAATCCATTGACCTGCTCTGACCTGTGATCGCCTGCGGGTTGTGAATGCCGAGACACCTCCGCAGAGTATGAGTCCCGCCTCTTCATCATTGACGCCGTCTGGTATGCGGGTGGGGTAGCGTGCATCGGTGAGGCAGAATCCTGGAACATTCCTACTCCTTATCAGTAACAAGCTTATATCACGGAGGTTTGATACTCACCAGGGACTGTACACCTGCTATTGAGCTGCTTAGGACACTGCAACTCCGTTGGTACAGAACTCGCAGTTCCCGCTCACACGGAGTGTCTATTGAATACCAACTCAGGCAACCTCCTTCCAAGGGTCTTTCACATCATCGGCTACTGTCACCACGACGCTGGCTCCTTCGTGGCCTGAGATGTTTATGGTGCTTTCCTGCATCTCAATTCCTCCTACTATGTAGTCATGATGGAAAAAAGCTCTATTGGTTCCACAGACGCCACTGTGATTGATCTTGCTGAGGATTTGGCTGAGTGCCGGATGTGGGGCGGCGATGGTTGGAACTTGGCATTTGGCCAACTGGCCTGCGGCTTCCTGAACGCCGGGCTCTTTGGTGGGTTGGAAGCTGCGGGTAAAGTATGGTTGGGATCTTGGGTGGAGTTATTGCCGCAGGCTGCAGCTCACCCAGCTCGAACGAGAGGGGTCTCAGGACTGCTCTCTCCGCCATGTCGAGTTGATTGTGCACCTCTTATCGGGAGTATTCTGATGGTTAGTGTAGGAGCGGAGCCAATGATGAGTGATGATGGGGGTCGATGCATGCTGCAGAAGGAGGTGGCGCAGATAGCAGCTGCAATCTGCAAGAAAGATCCGCCCCAGTTGATTCGCACCGAGTCTGGCCGAGCCGGCTTGTACTCAACCTTTTGGAGAAAGGGCAACTGGTACCTGAATGAATCAGTTCAATAGTAATAATGATGAAGGCATTAAGGATTTTTCAATAATCGAGGTAAGGTACTCCAAATTGAAAGCGGTATTGCAGTGCAAGTCATATAATAATGATTTCCCTTCTGCCTTCCCCAGCCGTCAAGGGTTACTTTAGGGTTGCTACCGCCAAGCTACCGCCAAGCTACCGCCAAGCTTTTTAAGTGAGTAAAGTAAATCACCAAATCAGCGGGCCGCCCTGAGACTTCAAGATTGGTCTCGCCGTACCTTCCTCGGCTGGAGAATGTAAATGTAGTACCTAGAATCGAGCCAACCATTTTATCACTTTAAACGAATCTCGCATCAATCAAAAGCCTACGACAACGGCAGGGGCTTATATCTTTGTTCTTTGTACATCCTGTTACACAGCCATCACACCCTCAAGTATCAAAGACTCTTCACGATCAAATCCGAAAAGTGGTAAGACTTGCCGCTTACTCTGAAGCTCCAAATTCATCTCCTCTCTCTTCCCGCCTCTTCTTCTTCTTCTTACCTTACTCCTCCGACAACATTGCCGAACATGCCACTATTCATTTCCTCCTCCGCTTGACCTCAAACATTCAACCCTGCCTATGCCTTTCTCGGCCGACGACTTCAAGATGGCCAGGGGATCTCGCCTCATCCCCCTTGGTGTCCTCTTCCTCTTCATGCTCTCTCTGCTATGGTACACAAAGTCGGGTGACGGATTATCCTACCTCAAGGGCCATGGATACGACTACAATACAAATCCGGCCGCCAATTTCAAATTAACAAAAGACAGCGTCAAAGACGTTCACAATTCCACCCTTGGCGTACGCAGCTCTCCCGGTCTACTTCCACATCCTTGCTGACACGTGTCGTCCGACAGTTCCAGAAAGTCTTCGTCCTGAACCTCGCCGAACGACCGGACAAGCTCGATGCTTTTGCCCTCGCCTCCACCCTGACAGGCTTCACTGCGGAGATAATAGAAGGTGTAAGAGGGGAAGAGGTGGTGAATAAGGCGCTTCCGTCACTGGAGGGCCTGCCTGAGGTCTATACATACTTTCCAGGGCTTATGGGTCGGTGCTGACGGAAGATGTAGAAGGAAGAGTCTAAGAATAATGTTGTTGGGTGCTGGCGTGCGCACTTGAATTTTGCGCAAAAGTGAGTCAGACTCAACCTAGGGCAGAGGCTTCGCAATGGTCGTACTGACGGTCCGCATCAAAGGGTCGTCATGGAAGGACTCACCTCGGCCATCATTCTCGAGGATGACGCGGATTGGGACACCAGACTCAAGGATCAACTAGCAATCTTTGCTCAAGGCAGCCAATTCGTCACAGCTGTCCCTCCAAACCACAAACCTCACTCTCCATACGGCGATGATTGGGACCTCTTATGGCTCGGTCACTGCTCGAATCAAATCAAACCAGACGACGAGAGACGATTCGTCATCGAGAACGATGATACGGTGCCAATCACAAAGCATCGGGTGAACTTCGCTGGGGTCCCCGACATGGTTGCCGAAGGATACGACAACAATACCCGAATAATTTATGAGGCGAACAACGGAGTGTGCCTCTACGGCTACGCACTCTCATTTCGCGGCGCTCGAAAGCTTCTACGAGGGCAAGCCCAACGCAAAACCTTCCTGCCAATCGATATCGGCATTGGCTACATGTGCAGAGACGACCCAAACTTCAAATGCATCGGAGTGTTCCCGCAGCTTATTGACAGTCACAAGGGGGCTGGCAGGCTGAGCCGAGACAGCGACATTGGATCGTTCAGCGCACAAAGCATTCGGCAAAAAGGCTACACTTTCAACATTGTACATAGCACTCGCTTGAACATAGACCACCTTCTGGCGGGTGAGACGAACAAGATTGAGAGGCAATGGCCGAACGATCCGGAAGTGAAAGGCGAGCTGCGAGCGAAGCCTGTAGGGAGGGTATTCGATTAATCCTTTAATGCAATTGTTTCCGATTTGCGTCTTACTGGCGGTATCTTCTCGTTGAAGCATGGCGTTTAGGAAAGAGCAGGGACAAGGGGCACGATTTCTGGGATAGGGGTTGGCGTTGGGCATTGGCTTAGATCACGATACCCACGTATTCCCTTGGACCGCCTCAAGGCCTTTAGAAAGAAAGCATCACTGCGAGCATTACTAGGTACGTATATCGTCGGTTTTTCCGTACCGTCAAGCTAGGATTTTTGACCTTGCATTCTGAAAAAGATCCATTTGTATAAGCAGTGATGCAAGTGACGGCTGGTTTTGGCCAAGAGTATCCACTGATGGATCGCATTTGGGCCTGATGTTTGCCTGCATGCCTAGGCTTCACATACTGTCAGATACCGTTCTCCGGAAGGTTTTCTCTGCTTCTGGTGTGGACATACCGATTGACGACTAAGCAAACCTCTGACCTCATCTGGTGATCTTTTTCACAATATCTCACATCTCTCACATCTTGCATTCCTTCCAAAATCACCACTGCAACTCCACCAAGGGATCCAGTCTGCTACTACAGCATCTGCAATAGCTTCTGCTCGTCCACCATGAAGGGAAAGGAGGAGTTGAAGGTCATACTTGAGGCACAGCTTCCCAAATCTTACCAGTCCACCAAAGCTTCGGTGGAGGACGAGCAGCAGGGTATGCAACCTCATCAAATGAGTTGTAAACAGATTGCAAAAGGTCAGAACGCTAACAATGGGTCTACAGAATCATCGAAGACAGGAGCTCAGCCAGGTACGCAACCTCTCTCCCTCCAAAACCTACCCCCACCCCCCCCACCCTCACCAGCTCGACCCACTCACCACACCCACCCCGCAGCCCCACCCGGCGGCTCCTGCGCCTCCCCCGAATACGCCGCCCTCTTCGTCGCCTGGCCCTTCCGCGCCCCTTCCCGGGGCCAGACCCCGATGCCGGCCTCCGTCACGAGCCTCATCGACAAGCTACCCACGACCGGCGAGAGGATCGCGGCGAAGCGGCTCTGGAACCGTTCACTGCCGGTGGCGGCGAATGTGGGCATCGTGGAGTACAACCGGGTCGATGGGGAGAAGTTTAGGGAGAAGGTTGCGGAAAGGGTTGGGGAGGGGTGGTGGAGGAAGGTGGAGGAGTTGGCTAGGGGATTGAATGAGGCTGCTGGGATCATTAGGGGGGAGGAGAAGAGTGGTGGGGTGGTTGAAGGGAAGGTTCTCCAAGAGGGTTCAATGAAAGGGGTAGGGTCTGAGATGAAGACTTCCGAATTGCCCAAGGAAGAGGGCAAAAAGCCTGAAATGATCAATCCCGATGGTACTGGGGGGAAATCCCAAGAGTATGAGACAAACACCCCCGATCATCTCGCAGAATCGGCAGCGCTCGTCGTCAGGACAGAAGAAGGACGGGAGACGGAAGATGCCAAATCCACCCTAAGCGAAAGCCAAGAACCGCAGCCAAAGCCCGACGACGAGACCACTGAAGCAGCAATGAGCCTCCTAACCCTATCCTCAACCCCCGCCTCCAGCGCAACCGCCGATGCCTCCGCCCTCGCCGCCTCCAACCCCCTCTCCGCCCTCTGGTACCTCATCTCTCGCTTCTTCTCCTCCGGCCACTCGGCCGCCTCCTACTTCTTCGTCGCCCTCGAAGCCGCCATCCGGCACGACAGCGCCACCGTGCACGCGCTGCACATCCCCGCGCCCCCGGCCTTCTGGACCGACGCCGCCGACTGGCGCGTGCCGAAAGTGGGCATGACGCTGCTCCTCACGCTCGCCGCGTCCGACAAGGCCATGTTCGACGCCTTCGCCCGCTTCAGCAAGAGCCTGGGCCGCCCCGCGCCGAGCGTCGAATCGATGCGGACGGGGAGAAACTCCGCGTCGTTGAGGAAGGCCGTCCTGCGCGCGAAAGCGGACGCCGCGGACAAGCGGCGCACGACGGTCCTCGGGGTGGATCTGCGCGACGTGCGCTACGGTGCGCTGTGCGAGCGGCACGGGAGGGGCGTCGCGGAGCACTTCGCGACGTTTGCGCGGATGTTCGTGCTGGGGGTGTGTCCCGCGGGGGCGAAGCTGTGGCTGGTCGGGGGCCCGGGGGGCGAGACGGCGACGGTTTGGGAGTCGAATGTGAAGGTGGGGGCCGGGGTGGGGACGTGGGAGGAGATGGACGAGTTTGTGCGGGCGTTCGAGGGGTTTGCGGTGTCGAATGTTTGAGGCCCCCCCTCCCTCCCTCCCTCCCTCCCTTGCTTTCCTTCTTCCCTCAGGTCATAAGGCGCTGACTGGGTGCGTTAGGGGCAATGGAACAGCAAGCGTTTCAAATGGTTCCATCGCTGCTTCGCGGTCGATCTGAAGCAGTTCGATTTGCAGATTGATGAAGCCGAGAAGAAGAAGAGGGGGAGGGAGGAGATGGAGGTGGAGGGGGTGAAGAGGCTGTTGAATGAGATTGAGGCTTGGGTGGAGATATACAGAATCGAGGATGTGAAGATGGCGGATGTGGGGAAGTTCACGTGGCTGTAAAGAGGGAGGAGACGGGTACGGTGACTGCGAGTTGGATGTGGCTCTAGTGGTAGAGCAACATCAACTTGTGGTCTTCCACCATTCATGCAAAAAAGCTTTTGAGTTTTATAGATGGAAAGAGAATTGCATGCGATGTGTCCCTTTTAAAGAAAGGTTTTGTGGCTCGCCTTTCCTCGGTAGAGAACTCAAGCATTCTGCGTACACTGAAACCGAAAGTCATACGCTGCGCCAGCAATGTCTTTGCGCATGTGGAGTACATTGTCGTGACATTCTCGAATGCCCAGGTTCAAAGGCCGCCGGATTCTCGGGGTTGGGCTTGGCGGTAGATTATGTGACGCTAAGCCTATCTGAGGTTTTGACGAGGGAAACTTATTCTTCTAGCATGTCTGTACCCTGATCAGGGTACTCACATACATTTACGTTACATTATACTCCTGAAGGCATTAGTTGTATTTTACTTTGAGTAATTACACTTTACAGTAATTACACGTGTAATTACTTAACACATCCTACGGTCACGCTAGTAGTTATTTATTTCCTACTCCTTTTAATTTCATATTATTGTATTGCTTTTGGGTTTAGAATTGGGTACGTGTAGGTTGGTAGAAAATGGTGAAAGGATGGGCTGTAAAATGATTGTAGTAAGGTTTTTTATTTCACCATTTGCGGTATGGATTAGTAACTTGCCTCTGCGACAAGACGGCATACGGAGATCTAGATCTTCAACGTATTATCAGGCCAAATATTAACGTGTGCCTCCTCGGCGGGGACCTCGGAGGCTGAAGTCATCTGCGTCTTTCGCATCCTCTTCGATGGGAAGTTGAAAAGCCTCTTCGCGTAGCTGAGCTCAGGTGCTTGCTGAATGGCCGACGCGCTGGCGGAGTAGGCTGGAAGCTGGTGTGTGGAGACATATCTATTGTTGGCATAAGTGGCTCCCGAGACGCCCATCGTCTGACCAGATGGTGGTCTCATCAAAGCGGCCCTACCAAAGCGGTCACACTAAGACGGACCTCACCAAGGCGGCCCTTACAACTCCCACCAAGGCGGTCCTCACCAAGACGATCCTACCAAGGCGGTCTCACAAAACCGAAAGCTGACAGTCTGTAGTGTACTACTTAAGATGCGTAGCTCTATACACAGCCGACATGCGAATCGTCATGGATCTCGTCATGGCCATGGGCCATAGATACCCCCCGCAGACTCTCAGGATTCTCTTTCCTCTTCGTTCGATTTGGTCTCTTTCAGAACAGTACCATTCGGTCTCAGAGCATTCGGTCTCTTGCAGAGCAATAGCATTCTTTGTCCCACCCACCCACCCCTATATCTAGCTTTTGGTAAATACTCCTGGTCTATGTCCATTAGACATGGGAGTTTTCCGGCGCGAGGCACGAGAATATAATTGTTTGGGCCTCTATGTGCATGCTAGCCTTGGCGTTGAGACGACCCTCCCACTATTTGCGTCATTGATTCCAGTCCATGCATGAGAAGACTAACCCCCGAACATGTACCATTCCAAAGGTCAAATGATCCGGGTTGGTATGCGATCGTGCTATTGTCGGCATTGGCGTTGGCAATCGTGTTGGCATTAATGTCAGACGACGAAGAACTCTTGTTCGTAGCTTGTCGAGAGGGTCGAGCTTCGGGTAAAATGGAGGGAGCTTGTCTGTTCCCGAGTTTGTAGGCTTTTGGTGGTACAGGGAAGTTTTGAGTGTATGTATGTATAATGAGAGACAAAAGCAAGAAGCGGCAAAATGAGGCACGAAAAGGATCGATTCATGACGCAGCATTTGTCAACATCTGGGAGTAAAAAGGAGAGTGAGGTTTAAAGACACGGCGAAGGAACATGACTGTACGCAGTAAGCGAAGCATAACAAAACTGGCTAGCCTGAGACGTAGGTTTGGCTCCATGTGTCCCATCGATTACCGTTGAAACCCCGTTCAACTTCAGGGGTCGTGTTAATGCTGACATTGATGGAGACAGAAACCTCTTGGGGTTAGGAGATCCCAAGAGCAATCAAAGCTGTTGTGGGTGTTCTCGCCCGCTTTGAAAGGTCTGTCATTCTCAGCAACTACTGCTTGAGAGTGTGTGGCTTAGCATCAACAAGGCTCCGCTTTGCGTCAACTTCGTGGCGAAGACGCCAAGCCGCAGGTCCATTGCATATGGGTGGCGCTGATAATCAGAGCAGTAGAGACGAGATGAGAGATTGTGTTGTCAGCGTGTCTAGTTCCTTCTATGCATGCGTCCTTCCTATATCCTTCTATGCTATTCCATTATTATTCCTTTTATATAGCTAGCCATAGATAGTAGTACTTTATTCTCCATTAGCTATATAATAGCTAATGATCCCACTATTAAATCTATACGCTTTCTATTATCACTACTACTATATTACGCTAAGAGGTTATAAGCCCCTTAATTAATACTAATAATATATTAATATTTTAATTATATTAAATTTTAAAAAAAAATATATATATATTCTTCTAGTTATAATAGGTAAATTAGAATAATAAGACGATAAAGACTAAGAGTCTATTATACCTATATTAGAGGAGTTATAGAAATTATATAATCTACGAACCTAGAAGATAAATTAGATAAAGTCTAAATAGTTACGGTCTAAGAAGATCTTTAAATTCGCTATACTCTTATCGATAGTTAATATTTCTATACTTAAGAGAGTATTTAATTAAAATCGCTAATATTAAATAATATATAATTATTATTAAATAGCTAAAATATACTTAATTCTCGCTAAAATATTAATCTAGTTATAAGAGAACGAAGAATATAATAAATAGAAGTTCGCTAACTTATAAATTAAAGATAATATCTATATATCTCTTAAGTTAGATAACTATATCTATATTATAGATATCTAAGATATCTATAATATAATTAAAGTACTCGAAGATATATATAAATTTAAAGAATATATCTTTTATAAAGTATTATAAAAGACTATTAGTTATATAAGCTTAATTATAAAGAAGTTACTAAGTATATTAAGATAATTAAAAAGACTAAAATAAAACTCGCTAAGTTAGATTATTAATATATCTAGAAAATAATAATATTCTTTCTTTATAGACTTTTCTCGTCTTATAAATTCTTTATAAAAATCGTCTTAAATAGTTAAGGTAAAGACGCTAGAGGGAAGCTATTAAAATTAGATTTCGACTATATCGTTAAGTAACTTCTTAATAGAAAATATTATTAAAAACTAACTAGTACTAATAACTCTAATAGTAAAACTATATTTATAAATAATAAGAATAAGAGAAACGGCGATAAGAATTATAATAATAATAATAATTATATTCTCTAGTCTAAGTATAACGACTATAGTCGCTACTATAATAGAACTTACTAGCTATTTAATCTCGATTAGGCCTTCGCTAAGTAAATTAAAAGAAATAAGAATTATATTAAGAAATTTAAGAAGAAGAAGAAGACTAGTAAGCTTACCTTTATCGAATTTACTAAAAAACTAAAAATAGTAAAAGCGATCTATATAAAGACTATTACGATATTATATAATAACGACTAGTATTTCGATAATATAGCCTTATTTCATATAATATATTCCGAAGCCTATTTCGTTAAGAAATTAATACCCCTTAAAAATTCTATTCTAATTAAGACTACTAATAAAAGAATATTAAAGACTACTATCGTAGATAATATTTTATTAAAAACCCTTATTAAGAATAACGACGGCGAGAATAAAGAATATATACTTATACTTATAAACGTCTACTATATCGAAGGTCTATTTATAAATCTACTTTCTTTAGATATATTCTAACGTAATATCTTACTTATATTAAAAAAAGAGATTATCTAAGAGTTTATAACGATAATAATAATATTATTCTTAAGAAAGAATTAATAGATATACTTTATAAGCTAAGACTTATATTATTAAAAGCTATAATTACTAGAGAGATCGCTATAACCGCGGTTATTAAGAAGACTAACTATTATAAAATAATAGTCGTTAAATAATATTAAGTATTAAACTATCTAAATTTCGATAATATTACTAAACTATTAGCTATAATAAAAGAAATAAAAATTATTAATAATACTAAAAGATAATTTTATAAGCTATATACCTACGAGAAATAAAAGAAGATCTTAAATTATAAATTAATAATTAAAGTAGAAAATACTTTTAATAGTATTTATATAGACCTCTTTAATAGCGAATTAATATTATCTCGCTTTAAAGAAGACTACTACTATTACTTTATAAAGATTAATTAAAAGATATAATTCCGATAAGTAAACTTCTTAAAAACTAAGAACTAGATATTTTAATTATTATAAAACTTTATTACTATAGTTTAAACGTAGTTTTATACTATTTTTAAATATATTTATTTTAATAACTATAGTAAGTATAATAACGAGGAAACTTAAGACTAGCTAGTCTTTTAAGATATTTAATAAGAGTTAACTATACTCGATTTATCTAAATAGAATAATATTAATAAGCGTATTAATAATATTCTTATTTAGAAGATATATACTTAGTTAATAGCTGCGGGCCTATTATTAAGCTTATAAACTAAGGCTATTAAAATAGCTATTCTAAATATAAACTATTTATTTATAACTCTATTAAGAAAGATAGCTATAATATTATATTAGACTCTTATTAGAAATAAGCCTAATATAGCTTATCTAAGACTATTTAGAATTACGATTTACGCCTATAATTATAAGTATAAATAAAAGAAAAAAATAGCTAAATAAGAGTTTAAATATATCTTACTTAACTACGAGAAATCTAATTAATATTAATTATAGAATTAAAATAAATCTCGTCTAGTATAACGATATAATATCTTATAAAAATCTCTTTAAAATTTTATCTCGTCTTTTAGTAATACTAAAAACGAGCTAAATAAGATATTAGAGAATAAGAACGTTATAAATACTATTATCGTCGCTAAAAGAATTTTATTATCCCTAGAAAATAAAGCTTCTTCTTTATAAGTTATAAATAATAAGATAATAGTAAATATATCTAGAGAAGACTCTAGGGCTATAATTTAAAATCTGTTTATAGATCTAGAAAATCCCGACGTCGGCTATATTTCGAATTTATCTAAACTAAGTAATTAGAAGAGTATTATTTCTAATATACTATATTCTTCTATATCTAATTTATTAAGACGTTTAAAGCGTATTAAGAATAAATTAAAGAATTATAGTATTATTTAAAATAATAAATAAATTAACTTCGATATTTTAAAGAAGGAATTTATTAAATTAGTACGGGCTATATCGCTTATATTTAATACTAAGTCTTATACTTATAAAGAAGTAATTAACGACTTTAAAGTATTTTAATAAATAATCGCTATATAGAAGTAATAAAACTTATTATAGAAGATAAAGATATAAAAGCTAATATTAAGATTAATATATCGTATTATTCTTAAAAGAAGATAAATTTATAAGAAGAAGCTGGGTATTAATAATAAGATCTTACGCTATAAGACTAGATATATTATTAAAGACTTTTTTTAATAAGAAGATATTAACTATAATAAAATCTTTTTAGATATTATTAAGTTAATTATATAAAAGATTTTTTTAACTTTAGCTATATACTACGACTAGAAAGTAGATCTAGTTAACATTATAATAGTATTTCTATATATAGAACTTAAGTATAAGATCTATATAAAATAGCTAGAAGACTTTATCGAATTAGATCGAGATCGAGTTTATTTATTACTTAGAGTACTATATAAATTAAAATAGTCTAGCTATAAATAATATAAGACGCTAGTAGAGTTTCTATTTAAAATTAAATTTATACGCTTATAATTCGACTTATATCTATTTCTCTATAAATTAAATAAAGAAATTATCTTTCTAACTATCTATATCGATAATATTAAAGTTATCGATAATTAATTATTAATTAACTAAGCTAAGAGACTTCTATACGAATAATTTAATATCGTAGATCTTAGTTTATATATATATTACCTAGATATAAAGATCGAAAGAAATCGCTTAATAAAAATACTTAAAATAAGTTAATCTATATTTATTAATAAGATTCTAAAAACTTATAATATAGAGGAGTATTATATATCGCTTACTTTAATAAAATTAAATATAAATAACTATCTTATTCCTATATCTAATATATATATAATCGATTTAGCGAATATTATTATATTTAAGAGTAGCTTAGAGAAAATTAATTATTTAACTACTTAGATATAATTAAATATAGTATTTACTATTAATAAACTAGTAGTATTCTCTTTTAATTTAAATTATAAATATTAATAAGTATATAAGAGGATATTATAATATCTAATTAAAACTAGAATACGTAGAGTAGTCTTCGAGACTATAAAAATTATAATATTATAATTATTTAATTATTTAGATATTAATTAGATTAATAAGATATCTATAATATAATTAATAGCTAAAATAATTATAATATTAAATAGTAAATTAATTAATTAAAGGTTTACTAAGTAGAAGACTATAATATAATTTATATATAAGGTCGAATATATAGCTACTTCTAATACTACTTAGAATATAATATAAATATATTATATTTTATTAGAGCTTAAATAATAATTAGATAAATCGTTTATAATATAATATAATAATAAGAAAGCTATTAATTTAATAAAGAACTCTATAGATTATAAGAGATTACATTATATTAATATTAGCTATTATTTTATACGCGAATTAATAGTTAATTAGACGCTAAGATATAAATATATATTTATAAAGAATATAAAGGTTAACGATCTTATTAAAGTATTAATTATTATAAAATTTAGTAACTTTATTAATATAATAAGTTTAGTAAATAAAGATTTAAACTAATAAGCTAGAATAGTATATAATTAAAATAGAGGTATTTGAATATTACTAGATAGGGGAGTATTAGCGTATCTAGTTCCTTCTATATATGCGTTCTTTCTATATCCTTCTATACTATTCTATTATTATTCCTTTTATATAGCTAGCCATAGATAGTAGTACTTTGTTCTCCATCAGCTACATAATGGCTGATGGCCCCACCACTGAATCTACACGCTTTCTATCATCACCACTGCTGTGCTACGCTGAGATGTGTGGACAGCAAGAGCGGACAAGTGATGAGCAGGGAGCTTCGCATGTCTCATGAGGTAGTAGCGTGTCGAGCAAGAGCATTTTCCATTGTACGCAGCGATTCATCTTTCATTCGTGGCTTCCATGCCCACAGTACGCGTTTGCGTGTGAGTGGTCTATGCAGGCTGAAGAAGATAAGTTCATCGCCTCCAGGCAGCAAAGATCACTGCGCGATTTTATTCACAGAGAAAGTGGAAGATGTGCATGAGAGTCTTTCCCGTAGGTACGAGTACCCACTCATTCTGGAAGGATCAAGAGTCCTACTATATTTTACACATTTTACGCTAAATCATGGATATTAGTCCCCAGCCTCGGTCCGCTCCTTTCTCACTAGATACAAGATATCAGCCGGAGTACATGGGAGGCTTGGACGGGGTTTTGCCGTCGCGGAGTTATTTCCTACTTTACTTCAGCTGCTTAGCATATGCCGAATCACGTTTGATGTCCTTCTATTTACTTTACCAACCTTCCACCGCTCGACCTACTCGCCAACATCACCCTTCATTCCCCACCTCCCCTCCAAGCCCCTCGGCTCCCACAAAAAGATCGGCACATCCTCAATGGGGAAATCTTCAATATGCAAATTCCCAAACTTCCTAAACCCATTCTTCAGATAAAGCGGCCTGGCGAGCTCACTCGCCTCCAACCCAATGGGAACGCCTTCCTTCCCCGCTTGCTGTTTCCCCCAGTTCAGCAACATGGATGCTATACCTCTACGTTGGAAATTGGGATGCACGGCGAGGGTTTGCATCTTCCACATTTCGGGGATGGATGCGAAATCTGATTTGGCCTCTGCGAGGAAGTGGGCGAGGCGGGCGTAGTGGAGGGATTTGTCGGCGCGGAGGAGGGAGAGATAGGATTCTTGGGCGGTGAGAAGGGTGCGTTCTAGTACTGGTACAATCGTCAGACAAGGACGCTCCCCATTGTCATCAATGACATGAGTCATACGCTTCCAAAAGGTATCTTTCCTCCACACCATAGCCACCTTGCTTGTTCCCCTCCTCTCCCAAACCGCGAATGCCACCACCGTTCCCTCTCCCTCATGGTTTTGGTCTCCTTCGTCTGTGACAGCAACGTGGAAGAGGTAACCAGGAGTTACGAACCGGACTTTATGCCTTCGCAGGAAGAGGGAACGGAAATGGTCCGGATGCTGCTCTCGCCAAGGGTTGGTGTAGTCGTGGAGTTCGTCATTCCAGAAGCAGAGGACAGATATTGAGGCCGCTGAGGGAAAGTCGGAGGGAGTTGCCGGGCGGATGTGCATGGCTTCCTAGTCACCGAGGGGGGGTGAGTTCAAGAGATAGGAGCAGGAGACATTTATCTTTCGACTTATGAATAGTGCGGCAGACGAAAGACAGCTTTCGAGGCTCTTATGAGATATCAAATCTGTCAAAAAATATCGACAACAGAAAGTAGAGAAGAAAAACAAATGGTGGTAAACGCCTAAGGATACAACAATGCTGATCTGAACAACAACTCAGAAACTGGCAACGCAACTATTCTAGTGACATACAAAATAACGATGAGAAAGACGTTAGGAACGAGATGGTAGAGCTTGAGTGAAAATCGAGATGGTAGAGTACGATACTTTACAAGCAACACTGGTGCAAGCCGGTTGGAGAGGCTCCCTCGCCTCAGCCGTGTCTAAAATGGTACCCGGAAGCTCGGGCGCTCCCGCACCCACATAAGCCTAAAGAGCCCCGGGAAAGAGCCTCAAGATGCAAAGCTCGGCCCTAAGACCTTTTACGCCTGCTCGCGTTCCAAGTCTTCTCCTAACTCCGATCTTGCAATGAGTACGGCCATCCTTGGTCGGGTTCGACCAAGGGGTCCCAGCTCCTTTGCCAACTCGTCCGGCCAATTTGCAATAACCTGAGCACCTAATGAGGCGGATGCAGACGCCAATCCAATGGCGTCACCAAAGGAAGCCTCTCACAGCATTGAGATCGCTGGCCCTAACGTTGGCGGCACAGGCTACGGCCTCTTAGGCAAGTCACACCCGCTCCTTCAATGGCCCTTTCCTAAGTCCTTCGCAGGCCTGACATGGCGGCCCACCATCCCCTCCGAAGAACAAGCCTTTGCGGCGATGCACGCTGCCCTTACCTCTGGCTGCAATCTCTGGAACGGCGGCGAGATCTACGGCACACCTGACAACAATTCCCTGACCCTGCTCAAGAACTACTACACCCTGTACCCAGAAAATGCCGACAAGGAAGTCCTCAACATCAAGGGGGCTACGCGTCCTGGCTTGCAACCTTACGGCAGCCCCGACTATGTGATAGAGAGCGTGGAGGATTGTCTACAGATGCTTGGAGAAAGAGGCAGGATTGACATGTTTGAGTGTGCAAGAAGAGATCCAAAGGTGCCTCTGAAAGAGACCTTGGGGGCGCTGGCAGAGCTGGTGGATGAGGGCAAGATTGGAGGGGTGGCTCTGTGTGATGTCAGTGCGAACACGATTAGAGAGGCCGCCAAGATTACGAGAATCGTGGCTGTGGAAGTGGAGTTGTCGCTGTGGTCGACGGAGCCTCTGACCAATGGGATCGCAGAGGCTTGTTTTGAATTGAATATTCCGATCATTGCGTCAGTCACTCTATCTCTTGAAGCCTTGTAAGAGCCCATTGCTGAGAACCCCTGCAGCTATTCACCAATCGGTCGAGGCATGTTCACCGGCCGGATCAAGTCTCTCGGAGACATCCCGCAGGGGAATGTTCGAAAAATATTGGCGCGATTCCAGCCCCAAAACTTCGGCACCAACATGAAGCTTCTAAGGGAGCTCGAGAAGATGGCCCAGAAGGAAAATTGCACTCCGGCTCAATTGGCGTTAGCTTGGGTTCGAAGCCTGTCAAACAAAGAAAGAATGCCCAGAATCATCCCAGTCCCGGGAGCTAGAACTGCTGAGAGGGTAAAGGAGAAGCCGTCGAGGTCGAGCTAACTGGAGAGGAGATGAATGATATTGATACGATTCTAGGAAGTTGCGGAATAGCTGGTGACAGGTACCACCCGATGGGGATGACGATGGTCAATGGCTAGATCTTCTCGTACAAGAAGAGCGAAGGTAGTCCTGTGACGAAGGGGCAGTCTATCAATCGCACGATGCGTGAACATTATTTTTTGATGAGACAACGTCTCTATCGGGTGGGTGTTCTATGTCAACGCCAAGGTAGCTAATGGATCATCCTTACACACCACCTCTACGGACAACCGATTAATCATTCAGCTGCAGCGGCACGAAGGATCCATCGAAAGTACTGGCGTTTGACCACCGAAGACTGAAACGTTATTTGCTGCAACGCACATCGCAGGCGTCTTCCTAAGTGTTCGGTTGGGTCCTCGTCGGGTTCCGTGCTCCATAGTGCCGTTGCGCAGCGTAAGCAGGAAAAGAGGCGAAGCCGACCCTCCGTGAAAAGGCATAATAGAACATTCTCATTTCAACCCCGGGTTCTTTTTTTGTCTTTCTTCTCTGCCGTTTACTCTAGGCACGATTTGAGGGAGTACAAAGCCGCAGCAGCAATTTGAGGATCATGTCAAGCTACGCGATGAATAAGAACGTCCGCCATCTCGAGAATATCGGTTCTCTCCCATGCGGCAGCACTGCTACCCCTTCTACAACAGCGCAGCAGTCCTGCTTAGTGGCGATACGTGCGTTGGCAATGCCACCTGTCATTTCACGCATCCCCTGAGCAAGGCTAGCGGCTATTATGTTGGCGGCTGCACACAAGAATCCTTCCCAGGCCCCGTGTGCTCTATGCAGTGTAGTAAGTGGCCCAGCTAGCTTCTCCTAGATAGCAGGTGTTCCTGGCGGGAGGTTGGTGAGGGATTGAGCTGATCAGTTGACAACTTGACTGATCCAGACAACTTGTGATAGATAGCGGACAATCCCACAGCCGACATCTTCTACGATAGCACCACCGCACTCTGAGCCTGCTGCTATGGCTCCCGGCAGCTTAGACCGCTCGGTCCCGGGTTCCCAGACCTTCGAGGCGCCGTCGCTGCAGCAATAAAGGAATGAGGTGAGGTGACTACTATGTATGACTGGTGCAGGCCTTATCTATCATGACAAGCCCACTAGTGTTGTTCTAGATATCAACTGCTGCAGCAGCTGTTGGCTGATGCCACATCCTCATCCTCCCATCCTCCTTATCCGCACCAATTAGCTCTACCTCATCTAGACCTATTCTGCCTTTCAGGCTCAGTCTGCCCTCACCTTACCTCTAGAAGCCTTTCCACAGGCGCGAAAGCTGGGATTGGCATCGCCGTCGCCCTCGTCGGGATCAGTCTTGCAGTCTTGGCATTCTCAGTCCTTGTCCACGGGATGAAACGCAACTCCAACAACAATGAAAAACCGGAAACGGACTCATCCTCCGGAGCTAATGATCACGGAACGCAATATACGTATGCAGGAGGACTCCCGGCTGCGGGATAGAACGCCACACGATCTGTAGAGTTGGATTCGAATGCGCGCGGGGAGATGGATATAGCCAGGGGTAGTACATGGGAAATGCAGTAATGACACCCTGGAATCTTGAAATGTTTAGTGAATACCCAAATACCAATTTCAAATTGTAGTGACCACCGCCGCTAAAAACAAATGTCTTCGGAGCTCTAATGAACTCGAGACTCCTCTCAACAATCCAAGGCCCGGATGCACAAACGTATTTACCCTCCGCGAGCGCCTTCGGCAGAAAGTTCATAAAAGGCTGGACCAACCTCGTTGTCATTAAGCGTGCTTCCCCGAACCATCATGACATTGACACCGCCAGTTCTATGCTCGGGAACAGGCAAGGCTCTTTTTGGATCAGGATACCGATCTGCTCGTACAGTAGTTGAAGATAAAGTCAGCTAATGACCACTTAGTTGTTATTGGTGCCAATGTCGTTCTCCGTCAGTAGCTGCAACGATAGCAACAGGTCTACCTTCTGAAACCGAAGCCAAATGTTTGCTGGTCATCGAGCAGTCTCCAACTCTAAATAGAGACTGGGTAACCAATTTCAGAAACAAGACGCAGATGATATATGTACGCGTATCCTCTCCTTTACCTACAAGCCGCCAAAAAGTATCAATACTCCACGCACATGCCAAGACACAAAGACAATGTCACCATCAGAGCGCAGCTACCTTTATCGACTGGCACTGAAAGTCATGTATATATCTCCAAAACCAGCCACCTGCCAAGCCGCCATGCAAAGTCGAACGCACAGAACCCTTCCGTGAGCCCGCATCTCCTCCACCAGCATGGTGTACGAGCATCCAAAACTTCACTCGTCTGCCATTGCTAGCGGCATCGGTGCAGGTGGCTGCTCTTGACGTCGTAAGACTATCCATGCATACCTATGGTTCCCTAAACACGGTATCTTAGATATCAGCGCTTTAAACTCTACTAAAACAACATGGAAAAACTCCGTATATCAACTCACCCAGATTTCGGGAAGCGCCTAGTTTCCTTTGTTTGATACATACTGGAGGTCTCGAGGTCAGCGCTCGTTCCTAGTTCAAGATGATCAAGCCATCGACCATGCTTGAGCGAGAAAGATGCACTGTGGCCCACTTCGGGATCGAGACTGGGATCCATGTTGGCTGAAGTGAAACAGGAATGACACTCACTAGTATCAGCAGCAACCGCACCAGCCCATATGTCAAACCAGCGAATTGTCTCTTCTTGGGTAGAACTCTTGATATTCAACGTGACCGCGCATCCGGAGCCGCCTAGGTTGATTACAATGCACGTTTAGCAATCTTGCCTCGAAGTCCAGGGCCAAAACGTCCAATTGGGGCAACGATTGCACGTACTCGCGTGATAAGTCCACGGTAGTGGCCACTCCACACCTGGTAACCCCTTACGGCCAAAGCTCAAGGACTGCGTGCTCACGGGCAACGCACTCAGTGTGTCAAGACAGGGCGGTGGATAATCCGGCGCTTGGAAACCTTGACCGCATACGACATCGGGCGTGTACTTGCGGATTACTACGATGAGGCGTCCGTTCTTACCTGTTTGTTGGTTTGGTAGAGTCAGCGGACCTCTCTATCATTCACTTCATCGTAGAACTTGTTGAACAGAGAGTCCACACGCAGAGCACGAAAGGCTTCTTGACACCTGACATACCTACATTCGCAACGAAACCTCCCTCAGCTGGGCCACCAAGAGGATCTATGCACTTCTTCAGCACCTGATCGGCGGCGTGGCTGATCTCGAGAATGGACGCGAAGTCGGAGTCGCGGGTCTGGTAATTGGTAATATCGATAACGCATTGACCATCATCTACAGCAAGTTAATTAATCATGCTCGCGACAACCTACTACTAATATATTGTGCCAGACTTACCGCTACTCCATCGATAAGGAAGCCTGTATTGAAAATTGTGGCCCGGTCCCCTTGGGCCCCAGCTCACGCGTTCGGGTATCGAGCCTAGATTCTGCCAAGCATCAAAACAGCTGTGTCGGTCTAAGTTGGTGCCGTACAGAGTACCGTTGCACTGAGGGGCAGCGCTGGTAACGGCAGGCAGATCGTACCGGAAGGGTAGGTCGTAAAGAGAGGCGGAGTAGTTCGATGGTTGTTGGGAAGCGCTATCCAAAGAGAGTAGGTTCACGTCTGGGACATCGTTCGAATATGAGGCGTTTGTAAGATCAGCAGAGACGTTCCCGGGAAGGATCAGCACCGAAGGTGAGGTGGTCGGAGTGTTTTCACTTTGTGGTGCTGCAGGTAAAGTTGCAGAAAGCGCAGGCCCACATATGACTGCATATGCAAGCCAAACCCTAGAGTGCATATTCTATTCCTTCTGAGCGCCACAAGAGACGAACGAAGTTGATTGCATTGGGATGATCCCACCGGGAGTCAGGAAGGAGCCTGACAGTTCATGCATAAATGACTTTGCGGAGAGAGGTCAGATCTAGCATATTGGCGAAATGAGCATGCGCTAGTAGCTTGGTGGGAATCGCAAGAGCGCTTACGTTGTACGTGCACAACGGCCGTGCGACAGGGTCAAGGAAAGTTTTTGGTACGCGACAGCGCAGAACCTGCCCTTCTCTTTCCAGGCCGTACTTCCAAAAATAAGGGCGCATAGCTGTGGAGATGCGCCAAGACAAGACTGAAGTCAATCTAGGTACTCTAGGTACTCTGTAATTCGCGTCGAAATCCCTTGAGACAGCTTTCCCATCCACCAATCCAAGGGCGGAAACAAGATTGTCACATTGTTGTAAGATGCGGACTGCTCGAAGCTGCACCAAGACCAGAAAGTAAATCGTGGTGGTGCTACCGTAACTTGATTGAGTCGTTCGCCACATAAAGTCGAACTCGAGGTTTTCCACCCGCATACCAATCTGACGGCGATTTCCTCGAACGCTAGACCGAGCGTTCTGTCCCCTCATCCAGACACATGGATATTAGGAAGCACGGATCTTCCCTGAATCTCTGGTACCACCGAAGCACACCATGAAGTTACGTTAGGTAGATGTGCTTGATTGCTGCTAGGTTGGGGTATCTGATGAGTTGAGGCGGAAGCTTGTAATCCGCATCTCCAACACTGACCATGCGATGCTCGAGCTGAATCTCCTCCAATTGAATAGGTAGGCAGAAGGTCTGTCTCTGGGGGTCAAGTGATTTTTTTTGGGACGACTTAAAGACAGGTCATGCCAAGTACGAACTTGATGGACCGATGTGGGTTCGCACTCTCACGGTCTGCGTGTGGAGTAGAAGTCACTCTCTCGAACACCACTTCATTGCCAGACTAACGCCACTGTTCGATGGACACACTCCACGAAGATGGTCACTATCGAACATCATCATCATGCCAATTAAGATCCTCCGGCAACTCGGCATCGATACTTACGCTGACTCCCGGTTCGACACCTGGATTCTGCTCTGTGGACGCGGAATACCACGAACGTTATATAGTATGTAGGGTCTAGTCTCTGAAAGCACATCGGTGCTTGAATACCGATGTTGCCGGATTGAGCTTTGAGTATTTTATATCTGTTGTATTGCTAAGCATCGCTCTGCAGGTCGATTTAGTGTACAGATGGTTCGAGATATCCACCGTTAAGGCACTTTTCAGTCTTGCCATCCTCCTACAATGCGGCGGAGAAACTCTTTTTCTATGATCGATACGGCCACGTATTGCTCTTAGGTAGCCGCGCAGTTAAGGGCCATCAACGCATCATACTCTTTCCTTAACCACATGCTGCGAGCCGGAATCCAGTCACTTAACCTCCACGATGTTATTAGATCACAGAGGGCGAAGAGATTACCATTATCTTACCTGGATTTTCAGAAGGTACTTGCAAAGGCTTTCTTCTACCGCTCACTGCAAAACATCTTCTCGAAAGCACGGAGTATCGTCGTCCTCAAATCGCTTCCTGCAATTGTCTCACTACCTTCATGGATTGATGCTAATCCGGCAAACTACATAGGAGAGCAAGGAAGGAGAAAGGCTTATAGAAAGCGCATGGATCGGCGCAAATGGATGCCGTGGGTGCCGTAAGTGCTTGAGACAGTCAAGATTGCATAAGCCTGGACTCGAGCAAATCCGTCACGTCTTTGGCATATTACTCCTAATGGTTCCGAAAGCCCTGTTAAATTTAGATGATAGGGCACAAAGGAAAGCTTGCAGTTGCTAAACTAGACCCCGGTCTTTCTACCAAGCATGTACCAATTGCCAGCGGCAGTCCGCAGGATCCAATTTTCAATTTTAACGCACCAGCGGACCAATTCACGGCCGCTGCTATTTCAAGTCAGCTTTAGGGCCTGCCCTTCCAAAACATCTAGCCCACTCGCTAGGTATACCATTTGATTTCGTATGCTGGAGTGTTACACGAGTCCACACCAGGGACTTGACAGCTACACTGACCTGTTCGTTCACGTCCATCTGTCTGGAATTTGAAAGACGTCGCAAACGTGCATCGTATGGATCACCCGCTTTCGTCTTTCTAAAACCTTTTCCAGCACTGTCAACCAACACCATATTTTCGTTCATTCTTTAATTTCATATCACACCCTTCTCCGCAACAAGATTGGTCAATATCTGCAATTCAGCTTCAACACACCAGCTCTACAAATCAACCGTACCAACCTCATCAAATCAGTTCTACCTCCGGAAACCATAGCCTGGGTTACCACGCCGCAAGTATCTATTCGCTCGCCTCGGAAACATTCTCAACCCCCAACCAGTGGCGGTGACTCCTGGCAGGCTGATGCACTGCCGGTGCGAAATTGACAGACGTTCCATTGCCCACCTCCCACTCCTTCGCCGACGTCCCCCAATGAAAAACCGTATAAAAGCTCATCAGCCACGGGGAACCCAGGACCCATCCGTATGCCAAGGGGCTACGGATAGCGGACTCGCTCATCCCGTCGCCGGCGGCGGAACCCATGTTGAAGTCTTCGGGTGCGATAGAAAGACTGGTGCCCGAGAGGATGAGAGTGGGCATGTAGATTGCCGAGGTGCTGCAGGGGTATTTCCAGACGTTACCCGTATCGTCGGCGGGCACGGCGCCGGGGATCGCGGAGTGGATGGCGACGGCGGCGTCGTGGGGGGCGTTGATGTAGGGAGTGCCTGTGTCGACGAGTGGAGGGTTGGGTATCGTGCCTGTGAGTACAGTGTTAGCGCTGCATGGTCTATGATCGAAGAAATGAGGGCCAGAGAGAAATGGAATGGGGACGACAGACCAACGGGGGTAGTCGAATTCAGCATTTTACCATTCACGGAGTATCCGTCGATCTGTATGCTCCACCCGCCTTGCTGGATGACCGGGACCGACACAAATTCTCCGGTATGTTTAGTGGAGTCACGACTACCGAGTGTAAGGGAACTTTTCTCCGGGGTATTTGTCCGGCCAAGATGGAGCCCGAATTCCGGCGTTGTTACGGACTTCTGTTCAATCAAGGTCTCAAAAAATCCTGCGACTCCTATGGTCGATTTTGTCCAGTATCCCATACCCAACGTTGCGTTGAAAGTTGTACTTTGGGCTGCCATAACTTGAATATTCTTTGCGGTAAAGCCATCGAAAGCAACGTCGTCCAAATAAAGCGGTCCCTCTACGGTGTAATTGCCACCGTATACGATACTACCGTTTTGGTGGAGAGGAGTACCTGTTTCGGCATAGCCAGTGATCCCGGTCGTTGTGAACCAAGTTTGATAGGAACCTGGATTTGTCATCGCTAAGGACTTCTTGGCCTGCCAGGCAAAAATGACGGGTGCTTACCTGTGTCGAAGACAGCCTCGAAGCTCTGGTTGTACTTGATTCCCACTGTGACCGTGCCAACCGGTTGAGCTGGGTTATATAAGGTATCTCCCGACCCATTGCCATTAGGTGATTGTCCGGGAGAGCGGAGACATTCGCCGTCGTCAACACATAAATCTAGTGCTTCAACCAAGGGCGCTATGACCAGCACAGCCAGAATTAAACAGATTCTGAACATTATTGAGATAGGTAATACGAAATTTTGGAATCCAGAGCTCTTTCGAGGTCTCACTGAGGAGAGAATGAACGGAACTGAGTGGAGCTTCGGCGAAAAAGATAAGTTCCATGTTTAGAGGCATCCAAGAATACAATCAGCGACGAGGCTTGCGACGCCTACAGCCAATTGCCAGTCCAGAACTTGAAGTAGAACACGAAACAGAGAACAGCTTTTTTTCTGATTCAGATACTAAAACTTGACGACTCAAAGCGGACGGACGCAGTCTTCTATTCGAGGTCACAAAGATAGAAAGTGTTAAATTTCGACGTCGCAGATAGGGAAAGTGTTAAAGCTAGTGCTGCTCGCTTCTGTAGCCATGCCCACAAGTTTCAATCGTTGATTGGCCGGTATCCCAAGGCCGAAAGGCGGGTAGACGGCTGTCCACAGTGCATTCCAGCCCCAAGGACACACTCTCTACAAATGGTAGAAGATCTGGAGTCCCAGATACAGAAGTTAATAAAAAACAAGACGTGGGTGGGTGAGAGTCCAAGAGTTGACGATGAATACGAGCTACCACATATTTAGAATCTGTAGCTGCCGGTAAAGCACTGGCTTCAGTAGGAAGAGCAGCTGCTCCCTTAACATGGAAGGTCAAGGTGACCAGGGGCGCATCTATCGTGGTCGCCAGATGTCATGTGTAAACAGTCTAGCATCTAGCAGAAGGAACTGTAGATTGAATCTTTCTAGGATAGAATCCGGAAGCGATGACTCGCAAGGTTGGGAATACATAGCCAACTTAACTTCAGCCTCTTAAAGTTAGCGTCACGTTTTCAAAGGAAAAATAACCCGAAGAAGGCACGGAAGAGGGACTTCAATTTGCATGAGAAACATTTGATATGTTGTAGGGCACGCAAATTCATCTCGAACGGATACACATGTCCACTGAACCAGCAATAAGCATGAGTCACACTCGTAAGCTATACAATCTACATCCTCGTCCCCTCTTGCCCCAAGCACACTCCTACTCGCCTACCTCCCGCTTCAAACCCCTTTTTCTACTCCCTCCGTTGCCCTCCTGGTAGACCCTCACGGAGTTGACAAGCCAGTAAGCGTCCACAAACACGCTCGCGTTCTCCTGGACGTAGGCCTCACAAGTATCAGCCTTCTCCTTGCAGTCCTGAGTCCACACCTGTCCGGCCCACGCGCCACAAAACGTAGTATCAAAAACAATGTTCATGTTCTGGAAATGCGCATTTATGTTGCAAGAGTTTCCTGCGAAGTTCGCGAGGGGGGTGCCCCATTTGCTCGTGTCGGGGGTGCTGGCTGTGATGTCTGCCGGGATTGACGTGCGTGGAAAGAACCAGATAGAGATTGCGTCGCTGGTCCATTCGGTTGCGTAGACGCCGCCGCCGATGGCGTTGAAGCCGGCGCCGAAGTTTGAGGTGTCGGAGGATAGGACACCGCAGCCTTGATTTTTAGGCTGTTCGGGTGCATTGGTGTCGCAGTCCGTGTAATTCGCGGTGCCGGACATGCCTGACTTCTGGATGGAGCAGCCGCTGGAAGTGTGGAGTGTCATCGTATTGGTCGTAGCGCTGTTGACGCCTTCGATGATATCGATTTCACCCATCGTCGGCCAGTTGGGCCCCACGAGCCAGAAAGCAGGCCAAACACCACAGATACCACCAGGCATATGCGCAATATCAGCTAAGAATAGTCCTTTGTTAAAAGCCTTCTTAGAGGTGATACGGACGCTTTGGCGGCCAGTATCTGAGGTGGAGCTGTAGTCGACGCCCATATAAGTGGCGTTGCCGTAGTTGCCGACGGCACCTATCATCTTGTTCTCCATTGCGGCTGCATAGTCGACGTATTGCACGAAGCCGGCGGTGGGATCTGCTTCGGTGAAGGGCGTAAAGGCGTCGAAAAAATTATCGCGTTCGTAATTATCGGTGAGAACATAGCCGGCTATGCTCACGCGGAGGAGGGTTGTAAGGACGAAGAGGCTGGTGAGTTCGAAGGAATGCATGTCGAAATAACGCGCAAATTATTCGAATGCGAGGACTGAAAATTGTGCTTGTAGATTCGGCTGGGTATGGATCCGTCGCAGACGTGGGGATTATTGGGATGATGCAGGAAGAAAGTCAAAGGCTGGAGAATCGATATAAAGATTCGAATTGAATTTTGCCATCAAGGCATAAGAATATAGACAATGGAAGTGAAGGGACAAGAAACAATTGTGTCGAATATCTCGTGAAAGGAAAACAATGAGAATGGAAAGTCTCAACGAGCAAAAACAATAGTCCGCACTGTGAGGGGAGTCACTGCGACAAAATCATTGTAGTGGCAAATTCTGTAGAGCGACGATGAGCGATCCACAATGACATCTTTCTGCAGCCTTCAAAGAAAGAGTTGGACAATGGGATTGTGTGCAGAACGTACAATATGAAACAAATTCACAGTGGATTGCTGTAGAGCGAATGATTGGCTGAGAGTGAGTCTTGGCATGCGCGCAAATGGAGGGCGCCAAGAACTGAACGCGCTTCCACCACTCAAGAGTGTGCTACTTGTCAAAGGAAAAGCGACCATTGGAATACTAGAAAGTAGAGTATTCCTCTCGGTCTGGACCTTTCCCTTAATAAAATCTCGCCTGCGAATGGAGTAGTAACAGCGAAAGGGACTGAAGCGCGTCGATGGCTTTTGCCTTCACCACCCCCGGAGTCACGAAGCTGCTGTCTGAGAGGCTTGCCATCGGACTTCTGCCATTCGATGTTGTAGTTTGTGCAAGGTTCAGCATCTTCGGGTCCCTCAAGGCCGTCAATTAGACCGGACTGCAGCCGCTTCAGGAGGCGCTTCATAGTGCATGCTAGCTCGCATCAACATGTAGTCGTTCCACCTGATAGGTTCGTATTTGACGGGATGGTTCTCGTCTATGCAAGATGGCAGACATTCGACTATAGTCGGCCCTTCTGGGCCGACGAAGTAAGGTATGGAGTAGCGGGCCCGGGTCATACGCTCGTCGCCTGTGAAGTGGTCTTGTTTCGGAGGAAGGGTAACGCGATGGACGCTCGACTTGAGTGTATCTAATTCTCACGTGTCAGTACTTGGAACCGCTAATGGTGAGGCCAGATCTACCGTTGCTCCAGCGCATCATCAGGTCACCAACGTTCATGACAACTGCATCCTTCAAGGGAGGCACGTCGATGAACTCGCCTGATTTATTAGGGTTCTCAATCTAGAAGCTGTCAGCTCATACGGACACAACACTGACAAAGCAATCCATTTACTTGAAGGCCCCCGCAATCATCTTGGAAAAGCATGGTGATGGAGCCCCAGTCGCTGTGAGCACCCATTCTAGTTGAAGTCTGGCTCTCGATGTTGGCTGCAGGCACAGGTGGGTAGTGAAGCAAACGTAACTGATTGTTGTGCCCTGGGTGTGCTGGAACAAAGTGGTTTTCGTCGTCCAGGCCAACTCCAAGCGCCATCGCACTCATCATACTCATAGCGGTCTCATGGCACTCCCAGTAGAAATTCAGCATGAATTCTCGAAAACCAGGAAGAACATCCTCAGGGAGCCATTGGTTTGGCTGGTCTTTGTTATCCTCGCTGCCTATTTCATAGCTTTCCTGTGACTGGTGAGTATGCGTTAGTCTGCTCCATCTTTAGTCGTACCTTGACATCAGAGATCTGGCGCAAGTTCTTCGTCAGGTCTGCTGTATTATCTTCATCCCCCATGACGTTCGAGACCTTCTCTAAGCCGGGCCACGAGTAGCCGCGATGTACTGTGAACCCGCTCGGGTGTGGAGCCAACATCTTCTGTTCTAGCTTCAAATCGAAGAGCTTTTTGGACCACTCAAAAGCTTGAGCTAGTCGCTCGGGTGAAACGTGATGATTGGTAATGTAAACAAAGCCGACATTCTGGCATGCTTCAATGAGCTTGTGGGCGATTGTTTTCCTCTGCTCCAGTGACGCATCGGAACTCCAGGCGGCGAAGTCTACGACAGGGATAGATGATGTCTCTGCAGCCATGATGTCGGTGATGGTTACTTGCGGTCGTCAATGTTTGTATGACTGTGCGTTGTGATTGTGGTTGTGGTTGTATTTGCCTCTTCACGAGCAGCTGAGGTTTGTAGGTGAAGAGGAGTGCCATGAATTTGATTGGGGAAAACCACAGCTGGGATTATTAATACTGCATTGCTGATACCGTATTTCGGTCACAGTCGTTGGATCAGGGTCTCACGTAAGAATAGAAATCTGACTCCTAGATGTCATATATGCATTGCAGCATTCAATATCTACCAAAGCTCGATGAGGTCCTATCCCACAAAGACAAAGACAAAGAATGAGCTTAAGATCGTCACTTCCTCTTCATGACCTCAGACTTGCGCTTTGACAGTAATCTACCTTATACATCACTAGCTCTCCTCACCCATAGGAGAGCATATCATCAACATATTGTCGATCTATCCTTTTCACGCTCCATGAAATTGCTGAGACTGGGGCAAATAGAAATGCTGATTGCTTGAGGGCCTCTCGGATAACAATTTCCTAGCCCGACGCTGCCGATCTACTCTAGCCCCACGTTCCTGCCAAGACCCTGAATTTGTCCATCTTTCAACCTTCACCTTCTGTCCGTTGATTCGATGTGCTCCAGTATTTGCACGATAAGTGAACATCTCTATAATATCTTCTGACGCAAGCACTTACCCGATTCCCCTGAAGTCGACCGCTTTCCGTCTCGCCGAGTGCTTCCTTGCGACCTTTTGCTATTTCTTATTCCGAGCACCCATTGACTCGAGCCTCAACATTGCGCTGTGTGAGACTCGGCAACGTCGCTGTCCTTTCTCTCATCGCACGCTATCATGTCCTTCTTCCCCGGCCAGGGGCAGCAACATGGCTATCCACCACCGCAACAATACCCGCCTCAAGGCTATGGAGCTCCCCCTCCTCAAGGCTACGGGCCCCCTCCTCCACAAGGCTACGGACCACCACCACAGGGATATCCTCCGCAAAATGGATATCCGTGTGCTATACCTACCTCTCCCTTCACGGGCTCTTGCTAATCTCGAGGTAGGCCGCAAGGTTATTCAGGGTACCCACCTCCTCAGGGAGGACCTTCACCACAACCAGGCTATGGAGGGTATGGCCCGCCACCACCGCAGCAGCCACCAAGACCGTACAGTGGAGGATATCAGCCGGTATGCGGGGTCTTTACGAGAATGGCATGAGTTGGGCTGATAGTGATACAAGACACCACCACCAGCAGGCTCGGGCTACGGGCCGCCTGTACCTGGAGGACCACAATACGGAGGACGACCTGGTGAGTCCAATACAAGACTTACTTAATTAATGTGCGGTTTTCTAATTCCCAAGGTCTACCCACCACACATACAAACGCATACACCCAAGGCAACCCTAACGCCCCACCTCCACCGCCTCAAAGCCAGCAGAGCTTTGGTGCAGGCGCACCTCCACAATACAGCTTCCAATACTCGAACTGCACAGGGAGACGCAAGGCGCTACTGATAGGGATTAATTATTTCGGACAGAGAGGGCAACTGAGAGGGTGCATCAATGACGTCAAAAATATGTCTACATATCTCAATGGCAACTTTGGCTACGCGCGGGAAGATATGGTCATCTTGACAGACGATCAACAAAATCCTATGAGTCAGCCTACCAAACAAAACATCCTGCGTGCCATGCACTGGCTGGTGAAGGACGCAAAACCTAACGACTCGTTATTCTTCCATTACTCAGGTCAGTGCCTGCTTCACACACGCATAGTCCCAAATACTGACAGTCGGCAGGCCACGGTGGACAGACGCCTGATCTTGACGGCGACGAAGACGACGGCTACGACGAAGTAATCTACCCTGTCGACTTCAGAGTAGCCGGCCATATCGTCGACGATGAAATGCACCGCATCATGGTGCAGACCCTCATGCCAGGTGTGCGCCTGACGGCGATTTTCGACTCCTGCCACTCTGGCTCCGCACTCGATCTTCCATACATCTACTCTACCCAAGGTGTTCTCAAGGAACCCAACCTCGCCAAGGAGGCTGGTCAGGGTCTACTTTCTATCGTGTCTCAATACGCTCGTGGAGATATAGGTGGGATCGCTTCGACAGCCATGGGCTTCTTCAAGAAAGCCACAACGGGCGATGAGGTGTACGAGAGGAACAAGGTTACAAAGACATCGCCCGCGGACGTCATCATGTGGTCGGGCAGCAAGGACGACCAGACATCTCAAGACGCACAGATCGCCGGTCAAGCCACAGGCGCCATGTCATGGGCATTTATATCTGCATTGAAGAAGAACCCGCAACAGAGCTATGTTTCGTTGTTGAACAGCATCCGAGACGAGCTCGAAAGCAAATACACTCAAAAGCCGCAACTGAGCTGCAGCCATCCTTTGAGTAAGCAAAGCCCTGCGATCGCATTCTGATTCGCCACGAGGTCAATGTTGACGTTGCGTAGACACTAATCTTCTCTACGTCATGTGAAGGGCCGGGGTGAAGGAGCGCGGGATTGAAGTATGCAGGCCATAGTCATTATATAGTCTGAAGGAAATGATTCAATACCTGGCATAGATAGTTAGTCGATAATGAATACCTCAGCTAGTGGCGTGGCGAGGGCCTTAATATATGCCCAGGCAGAGGGCACCAGTGTTCTGAATTGCTTCCTACCATACTCAGCTCAACTGATTTGCATGGCGAGCTGTCAGTAAAGGCGGAGTGCGGTCTAAAATCTTCTTTTTTTTCCTTTCTTTCCTTTCCTTTCCTTTTCCTTTTTCTTCCTCTCTCTTTCTTCTTTCCTTTCTTTCTTTTTCTTTTCTTTCCTTTCTTTTCTTTTTTCTTCCTGGTAGATAATTGGATTCCACCCGTTGACACTAAACCATCCACGATCCAATCGGGATCCAGGAAAAGTTAACCGGGCGGTACTGTACTCACTTGCCGGGTCCCAAAGGCAGGTAGGTAAAGTAGCAGTGCCGCGTTAGCCATTCAATGGTGGGATCCGAAAGCTCCTCCGATTGCTGTTGGGAGACTTGTTAGAGGAGAGGGAGGGAGAGAGTGAGTGGACAAGGCTTGATCAATTCGAGTCCATACAGGGAAACATTGGCATTTTTAGAGAGCCAGTGCGGCTACTTTCTAGGGTGCTAGGGCAGACCTTTCGGACAGAGGCATGATAATAGATTGATTATACGCTACTGAATCATGCAATCGCAGCGGCTATCCCAGAATGTCTTCACGACGCCATTATCCAATGCGAACCCATCACTCTTTTTAAGAACTCTTCCAAGTAATAGTCAACCCTTGCGCCAAGGTCGCTGTGGAGACAGTCGCCTGGACGCTTCCCGACGGGACACTGCTTGCATAGAAGGCCGGGTTCTCAGCATAGGCCAGCTCACCGGCAGAGCTCGTAAAGACAGTGGCTGTTGAAACCGAGGAGGCGCAAACAAGATCGGCGTTTTGGATCGCGCACAGGCCTTTGCTAGAAGTCAGGGTGAAGCCGCTGCCAGAGGCCGTCGCGGTGAAAGCAGCGCATGTGCCGCCGATGTACCATGTCCCTGCGCTGATGATGCAGCCGTTTGCTTGTCCGCCAGAGGTGACTTGGAGGGTTCCCTTGCCGGAGAAAGGAGTTCCGGGTGCGGATGTAGGGCTGGTGCCGGGAGCAGTGGTGGTAGAGGTGGTGATTGTGGGTGAGGTAGTGGATGAGGTGCTGGAGCCGGCTTTGGGGAGGTATTTGACGCCTGTTGCTGGACAGTCTGATGTCGCGCCGTCTAAGCCCGACGTTAGTAGAGTCAACGGCGGTAAAGAGATGAGGGTCCTTACCTGGATCAGTAGGAATGAAAGTCCCCGTCTGCACGCTTCCTTGGACATCATAAAAATACCATATTTCGTCCAGCTCATCCGTATTCTCGCACTGGATGACAGCAGTCACACCTCTTGGTGATTGCAACGCCGCCAGTATATCCGCCGAGGTATACGTCGTTGTCGAGCTCGGCACAATGCCCGCGTTCGACAACCATGTGTAGGACGGCAATGTCTTGAACAAAGTCACCACCTTGTTGAAGAAGTCCACAACCTCCTCCTGTGGCGTATAATCCGTGTAGCAATCTGGCTCCAATGTACTGATACATGTGCCGTGTTTTCCCCATTCATGCTCCCAGAAAGCCTCGTTTGTGCCCGTGTCACTGACCCAGTAGGTATCCATGTACGAGAGAAGGGACGTCTGGCCGGCGGCGGTTAGGATGCTGGTGATGTTGGTGTAGGCACGCGACGCATCGCAATTGGAGTCGAAGGTTCCGTCGCAGTGGTCCGGCCTATCGAAGGTTAGCATGAGAACATGGGAGAGGACTGTTGGACCTACCAGAGGCCGTGAATGGTCCAGGAATCGACTGGTCCAGTCGAAGGGTCAGCGTCCCAAAACTGAGTCTGCGGGGAAGGAGTCAGTCAAAGTTTGCGCATGTAGATGCTGCGCGTATTGATGTACCTGCAGCAGCTGCCCGCCAGGAGCATTGAAGCAGCATGTGTTCGCTATAGCAGAGGTGTTTTGGCAGCTAATCTGTGGATTAGAGCATGTCTCAGGCGAGCCCCCAGAGACGGTGTTGCTTGAGGCAAGGAGGGCGAATTGCGAATATGTCAGGGCAGCTTTGGAAAGCGCCCTTACAGAAGGCATGAAGGAAGACATGATGTTTGATAAAGACAAGGAGTCAAGCTGAGGGAGCGAAAGATAGGACGGCGACGAAAGGTTCTTAAGGGCTCCATCTCGGAGCAGGCCTTGCACAGCCATGACGAATGTTTGTATGCCGGCCTGCAGCTACCTACTAGGATGGTGTATGGGTAATAGGAGACGATGTCTGCTATGATGCTGTTGATTGGAGAGTATATTCAGATGGGACGGAAAGGAGACTGAAGACAGAAGGAGAAGGTTGCATAAGAAGAGAAAAGAGTCGTCTGAAGGAGCCCATCAAATCAGATGGTCGAGCTGCTCACAAACTTGTTCAGGCGCAGGAACAGGAGAGAGAAGAGAAGAGAAGAGACCTTCCCAAAGGATCACCTGCTCCTTTGGCAAAGAAAAGAAAGTGGTTTTCATTATGGCTGATTGCTACGGTACCCACGATGCTGCTTGATTGGCCCTTGAGCTTACGAGTAGCGGGTACCTGCCGGTCCTGATCGTCCACTCAATCGCACTCGAGAGACTTGGCGCCGGAACGGGTTCACCTTTCGGGCGCTAGCCGGTTTCGACACCGCGTCGCCCAACTTTCCTCAGGGGCAGCCTTCTCTCTTTGCACCTTCTTGCGTCATCTCTCTCAATATCATCCATCCTTTCTTGTTCCTTCAGCGTTGTTAATACCAATAAACAAGCGCGGTGTCTTTTCTGCTTCCATCTCGAGGTTACGCCCGTAAAAGTCACGGCACCCGGGGCAACGCCTTCCTCGACATTGAAAGTGAGGCTTCCCGGAGACCTGACGCGAGCCTTCCCCATGAGATGAGCAGCCAGAAGGACCTCCACAATGCACATCTGGAACTAGCAGCTAATGGAGATGCGAAACCTGCGCTCTCCGTTGACTACCTCTCAAAACCTCAAGATGATGACTCCTTACGAGGAAGCCAGGCGAGGAGACAGCGGACCCCCGTAGAGGCTCAGCCGTAGCATAATGATATATGACTACTTTCGCATATATTGGTAGCCATGCTCAACTATGAAGTTTTTCATTGTAAGGGCCGCTTCGATTGACTTCTTCCACACTTCGACGTTTCCGGCGATATTACTCCCTTTTCATTATTGTCGTCATTCTTTCATGATTTTTTAACCCTTTTCTTACATAAATGTTTCGAGTCTACACTCCCCATCATGTATCCGAACAGCCTACTCCTTGCAACTTTACCTCTAGCGTCTGCCCATTATTCAGCCTTAACAAAACCCCCCCATGATGTCCCCTTCATGCGGCAATCTAGCAGCCCTGAATCGGCGACTCCAGAATATAAGCCAGCACCCAGTCGACCAGAGCCATCCGATCAAGCTTGAAGATTTCGAGATCAAACCCACCAAACCCAAGTACATATGTGCAGAATGCGCCTGGACGACATCAGCGAACGCTGGTGCTCTCGCCCGTCATTTCACCGTAAAACACACCTCCCGTCTCCAATGTTCTGACTGCGGACGTCTTTGTGAAAATCGAGACGAGTTGGAGAAGCACCGGTTGGAGAAGCACAGACACCTCTGTCTGGGTTGCCAGAGGTTCTTCCCTACCGTGAACGAATGCAAACATCACGAACCATGTGAGATGGAGCACCGCATTGCTCCAGCAACTGGAAATGGTGCTTCATCCCGTACAATAATTGAGCAACCTACAGGTGGGAAAGCTCCAGCCAGCGGACAGAGTATTCTAAACAGGAGAGGCAGTGTACAGTCCGGATCTTGCCCAGACCCGGGATGCCAGCTCACCTTTCTAGACTTTGATACCCTGTACGAGCATTATGTCGGTCTACATCCTCTCTGTATCGTCTACCGTGGCCATTCAAAACCATTTAAATGTCCTTTCTGTTCAAAGAGATACCAGCATGACCGTTTTATCCCAGGACACGTCAGAACTCACAAGTCAAAATCTTTGGACGGGCCGTGGATTGGAGACGCCGAGGATCAGGAAGCCCTGATTCGACAGTCTCAAGCTGCTATGGCAAACAGAGAGTCCGAATTGCGCTTCAAAGCCCAAGACGAAGCTGATCGTACCTCGAGCGACGAGGAAGAGTACTCCGTACCTATAAAAGAGGAAGAGGAATACTCTCTAGTCCTCAAAGATTGTGAGATCTACATCGATGACGGATTAGAACCTTTAAATCAACTTCCGGAGCAGCCAGATCAACTCAAGGAGCCAGAGCATCAGCGCTTCAGCGAGACGACGCCAATCGGAATAGTGCTTCAGGCCTCGCCTGCAGACTTACCTAATTCTCCTCCTGCGAATGAGACAGCGGCTGTCGAAGCCGCAGCCGCAACCTCGACTGTCGGACCCGAAATGTCTGATTCGATGGACCTGGATGACGACTACCCCGAAAGATTTGCCCTCGATGACGACGAAATTCAGTCGGGAACGAGCAATCTAGAATCCAGCATCGTCGATGCCCAAATTGTAGACGGCATCTTCCATCAAAGTCTCTCACGTGAGATAGTACGCGCTCTCCAAATGCAGCACTTTATCAACGTCAGTGAAGTCGTGGACCTATTTACCTACTTCCTCGACCAACCTCAGCGCTTTTACGTCCTGGAACAGCTCGCAAGCATCAATCTCAACCAGCATGACAGCATGATCTTAGAAGCGTTACACGGCACCGTCTTGAAAGCTCTTATCGACGCCTGGGTCGACTTCAAACGTCTCGCTATCCGCTCTGCCCCTCAGCTGATAATACAAGCCAATAATCAGAGGATTGGTTCCGGAAAGTCAGTCACATGGGCTCTTCTTCAGTACTGTCTGAACCTCGAAAACATGATCTATCGAAACAAGGTAAATATCGCGCACCACTTCCTTCGGGATCCGCCTCTTGACGATTTCGCGGTCGGTATGGACGCTCCGTTCCCTCGCCTCGTGGCTGCTCTTGCGGACCGGGTCAGAAACAGGACAGTGCATGACCTAGCAATTGTGTTCACCAACGAGATGATTCTGAGGGAGATGAGCGATTATGTCAAGATATTGCAGCTGGTTTTCAGGCCGCTGTATCCAGTTGCCGCGGGACATGAGAGGCTGTGGAGGGAGCTGCGATTACTTTGAGGGGTTGGTATCATTGTACTAATAGCGTATTATCATTGGCTATGCGTTCAGTCTTTATGCTTGTGACCGTTTCCATTTGATTGAGTAGGATTGCTGCCAGCTTCGTTCCCTTCCTTGGAAGATTTGAGATACAGTCAGCGGGCATGTGACACGTCGACTCACGGTGCCTGGACGCTAAGTCCTAAATGGCTAGCTTTGGTTTCTCAGCAAATTTCGATCTTTCAGTCACCATATATCTGCACTATACATAAATTCCTGCCTGTCTTCGTCTTTATTCTAGATTGTTCTACCTGACTCTCCTGCTCTAATGAGCCTCAGCTTGGCCCGTCCCTTCCTCTTAGCTCGTGCTGATGTTTTTACCCTTTTCTTGACCCCATATCTCTTTCTCCAATTTGCGTCTCAAGCAGAAAACCCATGAGCTATGCATGTCCGAAAGAATTCCGCCGTTCGGATGAAAAAAGCCTCATGCACTTGCCACTAGGCATGACCAACGTAAGAGTTTCAGCAGTATCCGAGCACCTCAGCTCTCTTTTGCAAGGCATCGAGATCCGTAGATCGCGAGTTGACAGTCTACAGGGACTGGCATCGAAGTTCGAAATTCCACCTGTATGAATTGCTGTGCGCCCCCAGGTCGGTTCCGCAGCACTGGCGCTCTTACGCCTGCCTTCGAGGCCATGGCGGATCTGGTCCAGGAACAGCGAAATAAAGCCGCCGACCCAAGCGCAACTAGTACGCTTGAGCTACACCCATGCAAATCCCATAGCTAGGTCTACTGGGCGATACAAGCTGCGTCGAGCCCGACTTTCGCGTCGCGGACAAGATTCCACGGAACCCTACTCTTACATATCGCTTCCAGGCTCGTGGAGATTCTACCCGGAGAAGATGTAAACATCCATTTTAGGATGCACATTGCGGACCTGGACAGCATCAGTCCCCTACGCATCGATGAGAAGCCTAGGGCTTACGAGGCTCTACCCTACACATGGCACAGTCAGGCATTGGCCAAGACTATACTACGTGATGGAAGGTTACTACAGGTGGCGCACAGTCTCTACGAGGCCCTTTATTCTCTGCGCAGATCTACTATCAATAGACTTTGGCTGGATCGACGCAATCTGCATAAATCAAGCCGACCTGCAAGAACAGAACCATCAAGTGGGCCTCATGAGACACACCTACAATCGCGCGGCTCTTGTCATATGGTGGCTTGGGAAAGAGGACGAGTACACTGCCACCGCAATCCAATTCATCGGCGGGATCATCAAGGAGCACGTCTCAGCAGGTGTAAGCTTACATGCCAGTCCGGATGCCATTTGGATTTTGGAGCAAACAGACCATGAACGCCATGAATCTGCCTCACTTCCCCTCTCATGAATGGGAAGCCCTTGCGAGACTGTTCGAACGAGCTTATTTCTGCAGGATCTGGGTCGTGCGAGAGTTGGTAGTTTCGTCAAATGCTGTGGTCAGATGTGGCTCCCTGATCATCAGATGGCAATCTGTCGAATACACCGCTCGATCACTACTAGCTACTGGATGGATAGGAGTCTTGAAGCAAGCCTACGGCTCAAACGCCACCCCAGACTTCGTGCAGACAATCAGCAATTGCAGAGCCAGTTTTGCCAAGCCGAAAGGCGGCCAATGAATCCCTCTGAGTCGGCTTCTGAGCGCTACTCGTCGCCTCAAATCGACTGACCCGCGGGACAAAATTATTGTCGTGGTATGCTTGGCGGATCATCGGACAGGGGGTATGCCTGTTTCGAGGATACTGGACTATGATAGGTCAGTCGCACAGCTCTATCGGGACATTACGGACTATCTCATATGTAGCCAAAAGTTGTCTAACCTTGCTCTCAAGCATTGAAGACGTTTCGCATCGACGCTTTAACGGACTTCCGTCTTGGGTGCCGGATTACAGCGTCTGGCAGCGGCAGTGTCTTAGGGGCATCAATCCGGGTTGGCCATCTGCATTTTCGGGCCGCCGGATACACGCCGTTCTCTGCTAGATGGACCGAAGTCTCACAGCTCCTAGCTGTCGATGGCGTTTGTCACGACAAAATTGATACAGTATCCGAGAAGGCTTTAGAGCACCAAGCCCAAGACATGGACATAGTACTAGAATGGCTACGAGTAGCAGAACCCTTGATACGCAACAGAGCGCTAGGCATTGACGCTTTCTGGCAGACGCTGATCGGCTATCAGGGACGACATTATGTCATGCTTTAAAACAACACGGCATGCATTTTGAGAGCTATATGCTGCCTGGAGATCAAGTGTGTAAGCTCAGTGGTGGTCGTGTCCCTTTCATACTGGGGGCGAAGGATCTGGGTTTCGTTTGGTAGGTGAGTCATACGTGCATGGCTTGATGGAAGGTCAGTCAGTCAATAGCGGAGTCGAGGTACAAGACTTTCTCTTGCGTCGAAGGACGTCATGCATCAAAGCTACCAGATCCATTGACCATGGAGATAGGAGAAAGACATTTGTCATTAAGAAAGGCCGAATGTATGGGGTACTTAGAAATGGAAGGTTCCAGTCACCAATAAGGCGAGAGATCTGAGCAATCTCATATCTCGCTACATACGTCGCTGTTTCAACCGTTGAGCCTTACTTTTGTTAAATTTGCACACCAAGGTTGGGTTTATTCAATAATAATGCGCAGAGCGAGCCAGCTGGGATTTCAGCGCGTAAAGAATAACTTCGCCACAGGCCAAAGCGGAGACACTTTCGTCGCCAATCGCTCTTTCGATATGCGCATGCGTTCCTCACCAGGATCAAGCAAGATCGACTAGGTACGTTAATGAAAACTTCCTCTTTTTCGTCTCCCGAAAATCCACTTGGTACTGATCATCGAAGCCACCATCATGATCTCGTTCACCGCTTTCGTGCTTGCACTTTCAAGCATAATCCTTGTCTCCGCCCTTACATTGAACAGCTCATCACTGATCCTACCAGGCTCTGCCGTAGCCAGTGTTACCAGCTCCAATTACATTCACGAATGCAACGGGATAAGATACGGCTACAGCTTGGACAGCACAAGTTGCACCGAAGCTTTGAACCAAATAGATGCCTCCTCTACCACCGAGCAGACCTACGGTGCGCGGTATAAAGGTTCATTCGACGTAAAGTTGCCCAAAAGATACATCAGCTGTCCGTTTTCCCTATCCTAGAAGCTGCGTGCGAGAAAATGCTCTCCTGGACTGATGCTCTGTTCACTGACAGCGGACGGACGCTGCATCATCGAACCGAACATCATACTCGGTGAACCCTCCGCTCGTGCGAGTCTGCAAGAAGTCGCATCCGCAGCCAGCTACATCATCGACCAATGTGTGACTGCAAGGCCATCCCAGGGCGGGAAAGTGCGCGATATAGGTAAGCAGTTCAGTCTGCAGTCAGAGCAGTAAAACTAGTGCTGTATCCCGTGACTGACATAACTTTCTCAGGTGGCGACAACGACCTAAGCGTCGCCGTTCTAAAGTATGAGCCCAAACAAGTGCAATGTTCTGGCACGGTATCCCCTTCGCTACTGTCATCGTGCCAGAACATCGTCAACACCATGCCCGCAAGCATGGACTTTACGACCTGGGGACCGGAAAATGACCCACTGGCTGTTATGAAGTTGCCTCTGACATATCATTCATGTGAGTTTGTATACCAGGTCCTGTTCCCCAAAAATGATGCATCTGAGACCCAGATTGAACGAATGATGCATTTAGTGGATCAAAGATGCAAATTGAGCATTCGCACTGATGGCCTGACGGATACATTTTCGAGATATCAGTTGTGGACCGTGGCGGTGGCGCTGACTGGCGTGTGTGTGAGGAACGAACAGGTAGGGATGAGAGATGGTTTGGGTAAGTCTTATGTCTAGGAATGAGGCATCACGTAAGACACAGCTAATGCGAGCAATGATAGGGCTGGGCGATCACCTCTCCATGGAAATTGGTCCAGCATGAAATCGCTAAAGTTGGGGGCAACAAGGGAACAGGAAGGTTCCAAAGGGTTCCTGCGTTTCGTGTCCACAACGTGCCATTCCGCAGCTCTTTCTCTTTCCCTTTCTTGATCTGCAAGAGTCTGAGCGAAAATCAGATCGATCGCCTCACCCCTACCCTCAGATATGTCCCTGAAAATCGCCTGAACGCATTGTTGAAATATGCTCCCAGCCTTGTGGTAGGGCTAGCCAACTACTTTTTAGTAGGCTTCACAGCCGTTCTTCTTCTTGATAACAACAACTTCCACACCACATTTCAATACCTATGGAAGAAAGACATATCCCACCTCCCCAACATCTCCATCTTGCATTTCTCAAGCGAACCCCCCCCCCCGCCCCCCCAATCTCTCACAATAAACCCGGGGTCCACCAAAACATCCCCTCGATCCCTAGGAAAGAAAATCTCAATACCTACTACCTCACAAGCCCAACCACCTGGCCGCAACCCTCATCCCAAATCCGATTCTTACGTCTCAAAGTGTAAGAAACGAAAAACCCTTCCTTCCTTCCCTCTTTTCTTGCTTTCTTTCTTCCTCCAATCGTATTTACCTGCAAACCAGATACTACACATCCACACACGGACACAGAGCTTGGAAGATCACATGTTGGCAATGGGTATCACCCCACGCGGAACAAAACCGCAAAACGAGGCCCAGATCTCTAAAAAGGCCGCAACAGGTATCACAGTCATGCGCAAGTAGCCGTCCAGCGTGAGGATTCATCGTCCACATCGCGTCATTCCACTCTCATCCCTGTAGTGTTGGCCCCCTCCAGAAAGCAGTACTCCCGCACTCGAAGAGGTCATCCAGCTCCGACTCCATATTGACGCACATCCCAATCACTCAACCCCGCGCTTTACAACGGACAGCACACCCAAGATCACCTTCATGACTCCTATCTTTCAACTGCGACTTCCACCAGCTCGATCCGCGTTGGGCCTTTTCTTTCAACATATCTCCTCGAGTGGGTCAGCGAAAATACGCTATAGCCCTGGAGGCCAAAAAACGTCGAGAGCAAGCACACGAGGCCGATGCGAGCGCCACCTTCGGCTTTCGGGCTATCTCGGATCAGAAGAAAGGTGAAAGTTGGGTGGGGGAGTGTCGGCTGGTAAGCAAGCGTGTCCGTATCGATACAGCACGTACACATGCAAGCGGTCGGAGTCTTTTGCATGAAGTCGAAAGAAAAAGGGGCTTGTTACCGTTGCGTATCACGATCGTAGGCTGCTGATTACACGAGTTGCACGGTACCGGGATCATCATGAGCCCAAGTTTCTACAACCGACTTGCCTAAAGACCATCATCGTGCCGCCACACCTTCATCCACCTCTGATCCAACGCGGCGCCCTCCTCATAGAACCTCAGATCGCTCGCCAACCTGATCCTGCCCAGCTCGTCCTCGTTCTTGGTCGCCGCGTGGATCATATACGGCTTGTGGAAAACCACATCACCGGCCTCATAATCACCGACCAACCACCTCAGTTTCCCACCCGCCCTCACCCGTCCAAACTCCTCGGCGTCATGCGACAAGAACCCATCTTCCATCATGAGCCTATTGAACGCATCGACACGCTCCCCAGGACTCAGCCCCTCCGCATCCCGCCCGAACTCAGCCTCCATCTCCTCGCCGAGCTCACCGCTGCCTTCGAGGTACATCAAGCCGCCGCCCGTAGGCCTACAGTCCCCGATCGGGACCCACGCGGTGAGGAACTCGGCGTCGCCGGCCCGGAGGAACAGTTTGTCGTAGTGGACGCCGGTGCTGCGGCTGCCGGGGCAGTTGTGCCGCAGCATGGCGCGGTCGACGAGGACTTCCGCGCGCCAGCGCATCAGGTGCCGGACGAAGGCGCGGAGGGCGGGGTGGGTGAGGAAGCGGCGGTAGGCGGGTGTCGCGTGGGCGGTGTCGAGGAGGGCGAGGGTCGCGGGGTCCGGGGCGCCGCCGAGGCCTTGGTGCGCGAGGGGGTCGTTGGCCGGGTCGAAGATGCCGTCGCGGGGGGAGGAGGAGGGGAGGAGGATGCCGGTGGGGGAGAGTTGTTGGAAATAGCTGGGGGGGTTTTTTGATTGTGAGCGGGTGGAAAGGCGGGGCGGAGGGGCGAGCTCGAATGTGGCTCGGACTTACTGTTCCCGCATGTCGAGAACGTCTTCTCGAGGTATGAGATTCTTCACCCAGAGATAGCCGTCGCGTTCGTAGCGTGCGTTCATCTGTTCCCATGGTGTGTCGGTCGTGATGGATTGCATCCAGCCTGTGGACGCTGCTTCGACATGACTTCCTTGGTTTGAGCGAAGGGTTGGGAGCTTTGGGGGGTGAATGATGCTGTCGTGCAATAGGGTTTGTACGTCACATGAGGCCATTTTGTGCCTCCTGATAAGTCAGAGGAGAAGTAGGATGGAATTGGAGTTGCGCTCCAATGCTGTTGGTTTAAGTCCTTGAATATGAGGTGGTACTTTTGATAGTAGGTAAATGACATCATATCACGTGTTGACTTCGCTAATGCGAGATGGAGAAAACAGACAAGTGAAATACATTCCCCGCATTGATCGACAAAAACCCTTCTCTCTGGATATACATTCTCATTTCTTTACCTCGGTTAATGGGAGAGACTTTCACAATATTACTATGGAGCGCGCTTGCTACGTATATTCTTATAGGCACACTTCCCGAGGCTAATTGATCAGCCAATGCATATTTATAGACAGATTTACAGACGAAGTATTATAGGAGTGGGAACCAGGATAAAAGATTAGCTGAAACCTAGCCTTATTATAGTAGTAGCACGATAGACCCCGTATTTAATACCACTAATGCATGCGGCATGCGGCATACCTCAGCTTTCTCCAGAATACTTCAGAAGGCCGTTGTCCGTCATACGGTAAGCAACGCTCCCGACAAGGAAGCGATTCACATTGATGTTATACTTGAGGAACGGATGGAGAGTCGAGCCACGACCTGGTGGTAATACTAGTACGGGAATCTTTATGATGGAATAACAATTTCGCTCAAAGGAGGCAGGGTGTCTGTATTTTTTTCCTCTGCATCTTTCATTTTTATCGATATGGGATACAGTAAGTAGGTTAGGGTATTGGGGAGCGAAGGATTGAAGGAGCTTCAGTACATATGCATGGAAGGAATTGATTGGGGGATACGATAAGGATGGGCCAATACACTAGACTTCCCGAGTTACCGGCCGCCCCGGTAGCTCTGTGCACTGTTCATCAAATACGGGGTGAAATTAATGTTGATATCAATTTATCAGAGCAGTTGGCTGGAATGCAACTTGAAGCGTAAAAAAGCCAGCACCATCATACGAAGTATATGCTGGTTGGAGAAAAATTAGCAACGCCAGCAGATCTCTACGCAGGTACTTTGTGGTTTGATAGGCTTATCTGATCTCACCCTGTAAACGACCACTTTTCTATGAATCACGTCCTTCGAGACGAAATCAAAAAGAGGTCTTCATATGCAAGAATAATTCTGCTGCGCGAAGGAATAAGCCATACTTCCAAGGCAACATCATAGGAATAGAATCCTGCCCTCTCTCTCCAGGAAGAAGATTTCTCTAAGGTGTGAGGCATTTGTTCATTGCTTATCGAGTTCTCCGTTGCATGCATAATCCACATCAATCCCCCGTTGCATGCATATCCCGTATCAGCCCTTCGCTGATGGCCAGTCTTTCAAGCAATCCAAGCAACGCACAGACATCCATCAAGGTTGCCACGCCTGGCTGTCACCATATGCAGGTAACCTCGCGCGCGCGAGGCTACCCAGATACTTTCCTCTGCGCGAATCCCGATTCCTCCGTTTCCCGGGTAAAGAACCGTGAGTTGATCCCCCCGCAAATATCTGTGATCCTACCTCTAAGGTTTCTTCTTCAAGGGTCCGGACAAAGATTCCTAGAGAAGTACCAGGCTGTAAGATACCCTTTCTCTGAGTAAGTCGGGCATTGTTCCTTCATTTGCCCGAATGCAAATCATCAAGGTAAGTTTATGCTATCAGGCTGAGCTGCAAACCCGTGCAGAGATCTTCACACATGACATATTCTGCTTTGCCAGTTCAAGTCATGATCGCCTTTCGGCTCGCATTGCCATCCATCCTTCAAGAAAACCACCTTTCAGTAACAGTGCAATGGCGTCTCCAGAATTTAATCTCCTTTGGCTACCAGCTTAGTATGCACTGGTGTGACGTCGCAAACCTCTCTGAAGTATATTCCTACAGCTCGTGCTCTACTTGTGCAAGGAGATCCGTATCCCAAGTAGACGGCATGCCAATGGAGAACAACAAACGAGCGGACTCTGTATTGTGCCATCATATGTTCATAGGACCAAGGAAAGTCTGGTGAAAGGCTGCGCCGTCCTTAGCGAGAAGGATTCTCATGAGATGCAACCTTTCTCACAGTGAGTCGTGCAGGGCGCTATCAGTGAGAATATAAATCACATCTTTATTGCTCCCGACGATCAGCTTCTTTCCGTGCTCGAATATGCTCGCAGGAATTTCAGTACTACAACTATGGATACTCAACTACTCCCTGCTTCTGATGGAAACCAGAACAGGACAGGGCAAATTCTTGGGGCGTGCCTTGGGTTTTTGGTCATGTCTTGTATTTTTGTAACACTCCGATTGTACACCCGACTCTTCCTTATCAAGTCCGCTCGTTGGGATGACTGGACCATAGTCCTTGCTTTAGTACTGAGCTCTCTCTTTGGTCTTCCAAATTTACATGCTGACTTAGACGAAGCTTGGCAGCATCGTTGGTGTCGGACTTGACTTTCCAGAAATCCATTATGGATTTGGACGGCACCAGTACTATCTCAACGACCATCAGGTTCAAGAATTCAAGAAGTACATTTATGGAGAATGGATCCAGACTTTCTTCACTCTGATGATCACCAAGGTGTCGATCTGTTTACTGTTATTGCGCATCTCCCCCAACAAGCGCATCGAAAGGCCCATCCAAGGTCTCGTGGCGTTCTTGGTCCTCTCGAACATTGTGCTGTCTCTCGTCTGGATCTTGCAATGCATTCCTGTGGACGGCGCCTGGGATGCCAAAAGGCAGAAGACGGCCAGATGCTTTACACAAGGTCAAGTCCAAAGAGTCCTCATCTCTCAAGCTAGTAGGTTTGTCGAACGTGTTCCGTTCATTCGCCTGTGCTGACCTATCTCAGTCATATCGATCATCTCGGACTTCATCCTCGCAGGGTTCCCAATTATCATTATACGCAACGCTCGGATCCACTTTCGGCAGAAGATTCTTCTATGCAGCCTTATGGGTGTTGGACTATTGTAATGACTCTGTTATCTTTACACATCCTGTCTGATTTTGGCGACTTTGACTGATTTCACGTCCAGGACTGCAGCATGTTGTATTGTCCGCACGGTCATCAATTGGCAAAACGACCACATTGATCCAACTTGTATTTATTTCCTCAAAGACAATTTTCCAAAGATCGCTCTGACGTTACCCAGGGGTCAGTGTCGACAATTTCCTTTGGCGAGAGTGAGTCAGCGTCTTGTCAGACCACGCGTCTCCGGTCTTTCAGATTTCCGGTACCCTTCCCAGTCTAACATCTCACAGCGCCGAAGTCAACATCGGCATTGCCGCCGCCTGCTTACCCACCTTGCTGCCTCTCTACCGCCTCCTCCGCGACAAAATTATCGCCACCCGCGAGGGTTCCACGTCGACGACAGGCCGATTCACACACTTTTTCTCCTCCGGTCGAGGCCGTAAACCGAATGCCTCTTCGCAGGAAGACTTATGGAGGTCACGAAAGGAGTATGGACTCCCTATTCCTCCGAACGCTGAGTGGGCAAGTTCTACGTCCCAAACTCTTGTCAGTTTTGGAAGGATGGGGGACGAGGATGTGGAAATGCAGACACCGGCCGTGGCGTTACACTAGTCGTCTCGAACCCATTTTATTCATATAGAAGGAATGAGGGCTTCGAGTAGGAGACTGTCGGGGAAGATTAGTCGGGAGAAGGGAATGGCTTTGATGGGCGAAACGGTTGTTCTGAAGATCCTTATGTGACATTCCAGTGACGTTCGGAAGGAGATCAAACGATAAATATCATCACATCAATTCTGGTTCTAGAACACGCTTGGATTCTATCATCCGAGAGATATGCTCAATCGTGGGAAAATACGGTCAATGTCTGGCCAGATATTTTACGTTGCCCTTACAAGCCTTGCAAGACCCATATTTGTTGGCAATATGATAGGCTATGCCCAATACAATTAGGGCTAGGGCTATATATGAATGCTATGTAAATAGATCGTATACATAGATAGGTGAACATAAGGAAAGAACTTTGCAGTGGGCATGGGCCTGATATAAATGCAAAAGTCGCTTGCCAAATCACTAGATTCGTCCCTTCGAGTCATTCGATTTCGGCTTATGGCTTATAGTAAATCGGATCGCTTCGGGGTCATATCTCAGCCTTCCAGGCGTGTTAGTTCCACATATGCGCCAAGTAGACTGATTACCCTAGCACACCATAGCCATAGCTATATAGCTTTGCCTTGGCTATGTCACCCATAACTACTATTGCTCATAACTATTTACCTATGGCTATGTTTGCCTATAACTATATAGCTATAGCCTCTAGCCACATTATAACTAATGATTATAAGTTATTAAAACTAATACTTTCTCTTTATTTAATTATTAGAAGATAGAGATAATAAAGTAAATAGTTGATATTACTCTTCGAAAAATCTTTATAAAGAAAATAAGAAAGTAAAGAAATAATATAAATTTTTAATATAATTCTTTAATTTATTCTTCTAGAATAGATAGCGATTTAAAATATAAGACGTTATTTAATATAATTAGAAGAATTAGAAATAAATATAGATATAATAAATTATTAAATAGTAATCTTAGATACTATTCTTTAATTTATTATTTCTTTATTATTTAAAATATTAAAAGTTTCTTTAACTTCGCGAAGGTCTAACGAAGATTTCAATTTAATTTAATATATATTTAAGTTACTTAATCTCAAATTTTTACTATTATTTATATTCTCTAGAAAATTAATAAAAACTTCTTTCTTTATTTAAGAATCTTATATATCTTTAATTTCTTTAATTCATAACGACGATATAATATTCGATTTCTTATTAAACTATAATTCGTAAAATAATTTACTCCCTCTATTACTATATAATAATCTATTTTTTAAATAGTTTATATAAATTATAATCTCTAATTAGAAGCTTATAAATAGATCTAACTAATTAAATATAAGTCTTATAAATTTTTTTTAATAGTTTTATTTTCTCTATATCTCTTATATAGAGATATAGATTCTTTAGATAATACGCTTTAATATAGTCTAATCGTTAATATATTAGTCGAAAATAATTAACTTATTCTTATTTTATAGTTGTAGATATACTTTTATTAAGAGATTTTAATTTTCTAAAAGCGAATATTCTATTAGATATTAATTTGATTAATTAATATAAACTATTTCTTATATAATCTCTTATTATTATCTCGTTTATAAATATATTAATAATTCTAATATATAGATTTTCGAATTATATCTTAAAACTCTTTCGATCTAATACTATAATAAATAATAAATTATTATCTATTTTTAAAATATATAAAGTATCTATTATAATCTATATATAATTATCTATATAAATTCGAATAATTTCTCTATCTATCGCTATTAACTCGCCTTAATTATTAAATTCTACTTCTTTTAAATAAGATTATAAATTAATAAATAGTTTCTTATTTAATATTATATAGCGAGTCGCTTTAAAGTTTATTAGCTAGCTACTATCTTCTAAAAAGTCTATTATTATAAAGAAATTCTTTATTAATAATATATTATTTATAGGCTCTAGCTTTTCTCTAATTATTTATAAGTCTTTCTTTTAATTATATATATTACTTATATCGCTAATATTATTATCGCTATCTAATTTATTTATTATTACTATAATATAATTTAAGTATTCTTATTTACTATCTTTAAATATCTTTAAACTCTTTAATTAATTCTTTAATTTATAATTTTATCTATTTAAATCCTTCGCCCTATAATTTTTATTCTTTTTATTCTTCTTATTTAAATACTCTCTCTTATAATACTTAATTTTCTTATAGTTATAATATTCTATCTTATTTATATCTTTAAAAGATCTTTAATCTAATTAATTTTTTCGTTTATTATATATAAATAAATCTTTATTCTTAGTCTATTTATCTTATTTTATAATTTATAAATATTCTATAGCTATTTCGATAATAAGATTATTATTAATTTCTAAGTTATATTTAATTATATTAAACTTACTTCTTTAATAAGTATTTATAATTATTATTATTATAGTAAGATTATATAATATATAAACTAGATTTAAATTTATAACTTTATTCTATAAATTTTATAAATCTACTATTATTTAATTAATTATTTAATTTACTAATTTAATATATCTAAGAAACTTCTATAATATAATTAAAAAATATTCTTTATTACTTATTTTATAGATTCGATAAAGTTTATTTTATATAAACTTAAAAGTAATAAAATAGATAATATAACTCTTCTAATTTCGATTAATATTACCTCTAATTAATATAGTAATTTATCTATTTAAAATAATTTATTATTTAATTAACTTTCTATCGAATTATATAGATATTAATAAATTCTTAAATACTATTTTAAAAATATTTTATTTCTTAAAAAATTATTAATAATTCTAGATTTATAGATAATAATTTAAGTTCTTTAGAACTTTTATTTTAATATATAATTTATTAATAAGTCTCTTATTTAGTTTCTTTAATAAATCGATTATTAGTAAATTATTCAAATCGAATAGAAAATTCTTTTTCTCTCTTCTTTCTTTTTCTTTAAATAAAAGATTCTTAATTAATAACGCTATCTATCTAGCGAATAAATAATCTTATTTCTTAGTTTATTATAATCTTATTCTCGAGTATTCTTCAATAGAATTTTTAAATTAATTATATTTTTTAATATTTAAGATTATAGCGGTAGTAGATAGATATAATAAAAGACTAAAATCTTAATTAATAGCTATTTAGGCTTATAATCTATTAATAATATAATAGATTATATCTAATATAATTAAGATTAAAGCTATATATAAATATTATATAAATAAATCGTATATATAGATAGATAGAATATAAGAAAAGAACTTTATATAGTAGATATAAACTTAATATAAATATAAAAAGTCGCTTATTAAATTACTAGAGATTCGTTTTTTAAATTATTCGATTTCGACTTATAACTTATAATAAATCGAATTACTTCGAGAGTTATATCTTAATCTTTTAGATATATTAGTTTTATATATACGCTAAGTAAATTAATTACTTTAATATATTATAATTATAACTATATAGCTATTATTTATAACTATATTATCTATAATTACTATTATCTATAACTATATTATCTATAACTATATTTACTTATAACTATATAGCTATAGTCTTAATTACATTATAGCTAATAACTATAAATCGTTAAAACTAATAATATTCATTCGCTTAGCGTGATTTGCCCCTTAATCGCACGATTTCAGTAACTTCAGGCCCCTAATGCTTGAAGAAAGTATGTCGCGGATGAGATCGCTAGAAATAGTATAGTAATTATATATCTTTGCCAGTAGAAAACTAATCATTGATTGTGGACATATGCTATGTCTTCTTGTAATTTTGAGAGCCGCTAATAGTATCTTACATAAGTAGAGTATGATACTTGTATTATACATTCTCAGCCCTGCGGAATTTACATCATTCCTGCAGTGCTCATTTGCAAAATCCATTTGTACTCTTTTTCCATCAGCGAAAAATCCTTGATCAAAGAGTGGTATTTCATTCTTCCGTGATCTTCAATCTGCCGTGACGCTGTCGCCACCTGTTCTCTACCGTAAACGATAGCCATCGCCACGATTTTGCCACAGGATCGTAGCATCTCATGACCGATACCCCATCAAGCCAAAATGAACGGAGACAGGCGGAAGCAGATATAGTATCCCGACATCTGCCATCTGGCTATACCGCTGAACCCGATGCCGTCTCAACTGCCCCGAACAACGCATCAGCGTCTGCGCCAATCCTCCCATCATCAGCCGAAGAGCCGCAAGACTCGCTGACGCTACAAGGCGGTGACATCCACCGGGAAATTTTCAAGATTGGCGCTAGAGCCAGACTGCCTGCAAGAGCTGCCACTTTCGCGAACCCCAACCTGCGTAGATCCAGCACTTTTGGCCCATACAGAAATGACATCACACCTAGCGATCAGCTCGCCCCGGGCGGATTTCGGCGCCAGTTCTTGCAGCGGCAGCAGAGACGCTTCAACAGCGTAACGAGTCCGGTCACCAGGAATTTTGTCTCATTCCTCGACCTTTATGGGAGCTTTGCAGGGGAGGACCTTGCAGAGTCGGAGGATGAATCTGCCCTCGACAGCGCCGATGAGGAGGCGGAATCTCAGGCCGGTGAGACCAGACCGCTACTGGGCCGGCGCAAGAGTTCTCGGCGAGCCGAAAAGCTAGGGGAAGCGACCACGTTGAAATCCTTCTTCACTTTACTCAAGGCGTTCATTGGTACGGGCATCATGTTTCTCCCCAAAGCTTTCAGGAACGGTGGCATTCTCTTTTCTTCCATCACCCTAGTGACCGTCTCATTGATATCCTGTCTCTGTTTCCACCTGCTCCTGACATGCAGACAGCGCTACGGCGGCGGCTACGGCGAATTGGGCGCCGCGATCGGAGGCCCCAGGTTTAGAGCCTTGATACTCGGATCCATTACGATATCGCAGATAGGTTTCGTCTGCGCAGGCATCATCTTCACCGCCGAAAATCTGGCCTCGTTTCTAGACGCCGTCACGTCCTCTCCTACCGCACCATTGAGCGGGAAGGCTCTCATAGCGATTCAACTCGTCGTACTAATCCCGCTCGCCCTCATCCGCAACATCTCGAAACTGGGCCCCGCGGCTCTCCTAGCTGACGTCTTCATTCTCTTCGGCTTGATCTACATCTGGTACTACGACATCGCCACCCTCGCTTCCAAAGGCCTGCATCCAACAGTCGAGCTGTTTAACCCCCGCGATTTCACCCTCACTATCGGCTCCGCCATCTTCACCTTCGAAGGCATCGGCCTCATCCTGCCCATCCAATCCTCGATGGCGCAACCGGAAAAATTCTCCCGCCTTCTCTACATCGTCATGATAATCATAACCATCATCTTCACCTCCATCGGCGCCCTCTGCTACGCCACCTTCGGCGACAAAACCCGCGTCGAAATCATCTCCAATTTCCCCCAAAGCAGCAAGCTCGTCAACGCCGTGCAGTTTCTCTATTCCATGGCCGTCCTCGTCGGCACACCAGTGCAGCTCTTCCCCGCCGCCCGCATTATCGAAACGTCCCTCTTCGGCGAACGAGCCTCCGGCAAGCGTTCCTCGGCCACAAAGTGGAAGAAGAATGCCTTCCGTGCCGCCATCACGGTTCTGTGCGGCCTCATTGCCATCCTGGGCGCGAGTGATCTGGACAAGTTTGTGGCGCTCATTGGCAGCTTCGCGTGCGTGCCGCTCGTGTACATTTATCCGGCACTGCTGCATTTCAAAGGGGTGGCGGAGTCGAAGTGGACTAAGGTTGGTGATGCATTGCTGATGGTTGTGGGGCTAGGGGCGATGGTTTACACGACTGTTATCACAGTGTCGAGATGGATAGAGGGATGACTGGGAGGGTAGTATTGATCTTGATATCACGATTGGAGCACTCAGCTATTCTCAAAATCTCCATGGGCCCCACCTCTCACAGTCATAGCCCTTTCCCTTCCGTTCCGGATTCCTCCCTCGCGTGAAAAGTCCCCCCGCTTTTTCTTCGATCCATCAACACTCAATTCCCAAACTCCACGACTCCCAACCACCGAACAACAAGCCAACAGACCATAACTATCTCACCACCAAACCCTCATCTAGACTTGACACAATTCACCTGTTCAAGGTAGACGGATACGTGATACGCTCAGTCTATCGAAACAGTAACGACCGCACCAACCCGAAGTGATGTTCGTTCAGCGCACGGCCACCCGAGCGTGCCCGCTAGAGGTGTAGGTAAAGTAGCTCTCCGGCCATCAACGCCCTAATGTCGTCCCCCGAAAAATCGTCGTTTGGGGCGATTTATTCCGTGGGTGCGCTGCAGGGACACTTTTCGATGGTACCTATGGCTGTAGGTAGTTGCTCTGGATCATTGCTTCGAAGTGTACATGGCGACAAAGGCAGGGGCCTTGTCCGGGTCTTTGGCACGTGCGGGCGTTCTTTTGTCAGCACCCTAAATCTTGTGCGTTGGGGCCCTGTAACGCGATTTTCCTGGTGTCTGTGGTCTTATAACATGGCCTTGATTAGGTAGCAACTTTGCAGCTATTGGGGGCTCGGCCTGATTAGGTGGCCTCTGCAGCTTGGGCTCCTTCGCTCGCGGGTACATGCGCATGACAGATAAGGTATGGGCGCCCGGAGCCACCACTAGCTCCCGACCCCGCATTGCCGATGTAAAGTTATATTTTACGTATTAGTCGAGTATTAATTACAATTCCCTCTAGTCGATTCAATTAACACAATTCCTCGAGTACTTTACCTAGTTATTATTGTAGTGTACAATCATAAAACATCTATGATCTCTTTTGATACTGAGTTAGGGTAAGACCTTAATGCTATTGCCATAGCGTTGCTTGGCCAACCGTAACCCTGTGTCCGCGGAGCCGACGCGAAAGCATTCCTTGTGAGAACAGAAATGAAACATTAAGAATCCTCGGAACTGTTATCAAATACTGCTATCTGCACCGCTCAGATGTGTTGTGCCTCTGCTTACCCTAATCTACACACATAGGGTGGCTTGCTGGAACCTTGCCTCTTCCATTGCACAATCCCTACTGATCACCCCTATTCAGAATATCGAGACAGAGCGCACGTGCAAGCATGGCAGCCGAATCCTCGGCAAACCCAGCTGATTCAGAGAAACCTGCCTTGGTCTCTCAACCTTCTGTTGCCAACGAACACCAAGCCAAGGCTTTTGCAGAGCTCAAAGCATTGTGTGAGAATAACAAACTCTATTGGCCGGCAAGTGAGATCGAAGGCTATCCTGCCGAAGGGCACAATGACGATAAAGACCTATTGTATGTTGTTCAGACTTCAACCCGTGTCCAAGACACCTTACTTATCGTGATATAGACGGTTTCTCGTTGCGCGCTCGTACGACCCACAGGCTGCTTACAAGCAATACAGCGCCTCAGCAGCCTGGCGCAGAAAAGTCGCCCTCGTTCAAACATACGACAACGTGGAGATACAGAGATTTGCACGTATGAACAGAGTAGTAAGTGGGTTCACTTCCCAGTTTCAACCAACCAGACTCCGTACTCACCAATCTCACCAAGCAACCCCAATGGACGGGCCGTCGAGACAAAATGGGCATCCCTCTGATGGTCTATGTATTGTCCGAGATCCGTCCCGAAGATCTCGCTCAAATCTCGAAAGAAGATCCCGGATTATCGAGTATCTTCCTCCCGGCAGAATACATAACGAACTTCACGCAGCGTCTGTGCAACAGGGTGCGGAATGACGGAATCACCATCAATAAATCCGTAAACATCATCGATCTCTCCAATGTTGGGCTGCGGAAGTTCTGGAATCTGCGATCGATCCTTCAGACCGCCAGCAGCATGGCCACGGCGCACTATCCGGAGACGGTGGAGCGGATCTTCGTCGTCGGGGCGCCGTCCTTCTTCCCCACCATCTGGAGTCTCGTCACCAGCCGCTTCGATCCCGCGACCACCAGGAAGATCTTCGTCCTGTCCGCTTCCGAAGCTACGGAAAAGCTGACCGAGTTTATCGCGCCCGAAGACCTGCCGAAACGCTTTGGCGGAACGCTGGACTGGACGTTCCCCATGCGGCCTGTCCCGGACGCCGAGACCAAGGAGATGATCGGCAGTCTGGCCGACAGATGGGTCGAGGGGCCAATTCGGTACCTCTCGAAGCCTGAGGGCGACGTCCTCGTGGCCGTGGGCTCGCAGGATGGGCAGTTGAGGCGGGAGACTTTGGCTCATATTCCCCAGGGCTCATCGTCTCGTAACGGGCAGCCATCGGAGCATGTACCGACGACATGAGCGCTCGATTGATGGCGGAAGCCTTTCTTTTCACGTCCATTTCATATCCATCCAAGCTTCCCACATCCCTTTCAGCATCAATACGTCTTTGCACCAATAGCATCGAGAAGGCCGTTGGAACGTAGACGCGTAGGCACTTAACAGAGCCCATTAATGCCATCTAATGAGTCCTACGACGCGGCCGTGATTGCCACAATAATTGATACCCTAAGGAGTCTAGTCACTTCTACACAAAAGGCTACCGAATCGTTCCATCTTAGCCCATGCTCTGAATAAATTACCAATCTGGCGAGCAGAAGAATGAATGTCAGCCAGCAAGGATAGACTACGTATTCCCCAAAGGTAGAGGAGACAGCCATCACATTTAGAAAAACAATACCCTGCGGGAGGTTTTCCAGATGTCTATATAAGAGGGATATAAAACCGGCATCGAGACTCAACCCCACCCCTCCCCCCTCCCATTGCAGCTCATCATCCCTCTATCCTTTCAACATTCGCCCAACGCGCTCTCTCAATGCATCAAAACACCATTTCCACCGCGCCACACAGCCGTGTCTGTAACACTTTCCATCACGATCGACACCCGCGACTTTGACCCTGTGACGGCATGCATCCTGTGATAAAGGTCCTAACATCGAGGCCGGCTGGCGAACAGACCTGACAACTGAGTCCGAAGCGGGACCGGCAGGAAAGACAGCGCACACCGACTCATACCGTTTCGCCGGGGGGCAGGGACGAGATACAAGAACGGGGCGGGTGGCCGAAACCCAACGTTGGACCCAGCAGCGAGGGAACGGGCTGAGGAGACACCAAGGTAGAGAGAGAGAGAGAGAGGGGGGAGTGAATGCTACGGCGGAAAAATGGTCGCCGGGAGTCATGAACAGAAAGCACCACGGCCCTCGTACGGCGGTCCCGTGAAAAAAAAAAAGGAGAAAAAAGAAAAAAAGGGAGGTAGTTGCCAACCTGCTTCCGGAACGCCACATCATCTAGCGGTAGGGAAAGTAAGTCCGATGGACCCAACGCAACAGAGCCGCTTTTCGGAACCGATGTTCTACCCGGGGTACACTCACTCTACTCACGCCCATATCAGCCTAGCGGTGTCATCCCAACCATGCCCCCGTCCGACTCTCCGCCAACGTAACTGACCAAGCGCCGTCGTTCCTGCCACAGCGTTTGGTCTTGCTCTAGGGAGCGCAAAAGAGCGTATCGAGGCAATGGGGGGTGGATGCGACGCGAGATTATGCGGAGCGAGGAATGTTTCGAAAATGAAGAGAGGGAATGTCTCCGAGTGGAGATGGATATCTCCGAATCGAGATGGGAATCTTTGGGAGATAGGTTCCCCTGTCACCCGCGACGGTGAAACGTGACCATGCCGTCCAAGCCCAGCCCGCCACAATTGATTTGAGTGGGGGTGAGGCCAGGGGGTTGGCAGATTTGTGTATGAATATGAGCTCAAAATTTGACTAGGATACTGCAGACTCTTCAACCACAATGGCCTTCATTGTGTAGTTGAGTCTCGCCGAGTGCTCTGATGTCTCAATATGACTCCACGAGACCTGTAGCAAAGCTCTTCGGGCTTGATCAATTGCATGGCTGTATGCGTATGGGCAGGAAAACTTGGTGGGGTTCACCAACCGGACTTCCTTCTCACGGGTCCATGATGTCTAATTGTTTCCATGAGAGCCTCCAAGTCATTAATTAGGTCAGTCAGTCAGTCAACCAAGAGCCATATCATGCGCCCCAAGACAGACAACAACAACAGCACTAAACATACACAGCCTGCCTCTTCCTCCTAAGATAGTCACCAGCCGAGATCGCCTTCCATCTCCTCGGTACCTCCTCGCTCCAGCACCCCGGTAAAGCTTCGACGACGGTCGCGGGATCAGGGGATGCGAAAAACGGAACGCTGTATCTCGCTGGCGTCATCTCGTCTCCGCCGATTGTCGAGTTTGGAGGCTCTACAACCCTGTGCACCGTATTCTTCCAGCGCCCATTACTCCACCTCATGAGCAAGTACCCCACGTTCACCACGACCGTTCCCGGCTTCGGCTCCACCCTCCTGAAACGGCCTTCCTTTTCGAACCCCGCACTCGTCTCCGTGTTTGCGGAGCCTGGCTCCGCAATCTCCAATCCGCCGACGTCGTCCTGGAAGAGGAGCGTCAGGGTGCCGAAATCGGAGTGTGCGGGGATGCGAGTGTGGGCGCCTGAGAGGAGATCTTTCGTGGGCAAAGCAGGATAGTAGAGCAGACTCATAGCAAATAATGACGCTTCATGAAATTGTGCCAGTGAATCGGCGGGAGCAAGGTGCAGCGCAATGGACAACGCGTCCAGCAATTGCCGTACAAGCTTCGAACACTCCTGGTAAAACATCTCCATGAACTCGCGGAACCCCGGTAACAGCTCCTCAGGTGGCCATAGATTAGTTTGCTCATCCTCGTCCGGGTTCCCAGTATCGAAGCTCTCTTTGATGCAGACGCGCTCGCGTACCTTTTCGCGTCCGACGCCGACGTAGCCACGGTAGATCGACTTATCAGGCGGGCGTCGTATGAGATTCTTCTTGGATTCAGAAAGCGCAAAGAAGCGCTTGCTCTGTGCGTGACGATGCATTAGCGATGATTGTCGATGCAAAGGACCTAAGATTCCAGGTGATCGAGAATGGGCGACGGCGAGGGAAAGGCAGCCATTAAATCAAAGACGAATGGAAAGCTCCTTGCGTTACAACATAAGAAGATGAAACTCGGGCGTTTACCCATTGGAAACACTCATCCACCTTATCTTGATCGATACCATGGTTGCTCACATACAAGAAGCCGACGGAGCGGAACGCTGCATCGATGGCCGAGGCAACCTGTTCGCGTCTGTCAGTCGAACCGTTCAGGAATTGGTCAAAGTCTATCAGCGGAATCGCTGAGTCTGCATTCATGTCGGGCCCCTATATTTCCATCAGACCACTTTTGTAGTGGGAGATGATGAAAAGCTGGCATTGCTAGCTCGAGTCTGCATTATAATCACCTTGAGAATGCTTAGTCATGATGACGTTTGGAAGTGTCAGATGCTATTGTAGAGGTGGTGGATGTGGACGGCCCATTCTCTCTAATCAGTCTGCACGCCAGCGATTTTGATTTGTTGGTGACTAAAGTGATGGCGGAATTTGCCCTGGATATAAGACGCAAGGCCTATGAAGACCTTGGTGACGAGGGAGCTTTGGATTCGATGAATCCTCGATTAAAAGATAGATTGAGTCCAAATCCAATCGAAACGTTTCAGCGGTAGCAAGTTCAATTCTTGCTCCTGGCCAACTTGTCTGCCCCCCTATCCATTTAGTGCCACAGTAGTATCAGAGCAAGTGACACCACACAAGCAACACAGCACTAGATTGATGGAGAGTGTTTCACAGCTTCACCCCTGAAAAGTATGCTGCCATTCACGCCAGCTGACCGATTCATACCTGCCGTTTGGAATGGCGCTACCACGGTCCCGCCACCCATCCTTTCTCGACCCGCCATAACCATTGCACGGATGCCGTCACTAGGGCTAGCATTCGTGGTTATAGCTGGTAGCGAAAGACCGACTGTTCGGGTGCCTATCTTGAGTATGTAGGACCCGAGACATATTAGTGTACCATCAGCCACTGTAAAACCCTAGCCACCAGGCCTGAGCGTATGTCCATCAACGATGCGATGAGACTGCCGGCTCCGGCCGTGATGGTCACGGTACCAACGGTCATGGAGAACAGTACAGCGGTCAAACTATTAGCTGCGAAAACAACAGTCTTTGTCTGACTGCCAACGACAAGTCCAGAAGAACCCAGAGAGACTAGCGCCCCATCAACTGTCATCCCAGAAGCTGCGGGCTTGAGGGTCGTTCCGCCAACAAGGACTGCATTTAAGCCTATACTAACAGTCTCGCTACCCACCGGAACACTGGGCTGCTGAACTGTAACGGTGAGCTGAGGCAAAGTTGATTTTCAGCCGCGGTCCGAACATCCAGAAACAGGAATAAAACCCCGATTTCGAAGGATTTGTATCATCTGCACGAAGAAGGGACAAGCGACGGAATGGGGTGACATTAAAGACCTGCATGGCTGACAGAAGTGGCGAATTCGGGACTGAGAGCAGCGAAGGAAGTGGCGTCTATGCATTTGAGGAAGAATAGGTAGGACCGAAAGGGTTAATATGATGGGCTGTGCACGCTCCACCCCTGTAAGCGACAGGCATGATTCCTAGTCCCTCCAGTAGGATAAATAGTAACTTCAGCATTGGGGATGCCTTAGCTCCGCACTCTGCAGTAAGCATGCAGTCAGCTGACCCTCCGTCAATTTCTTAGCTGTCGGGATACTCTCTAAGCACTACTCGTAAGGCTTGCTGCCTGCTCCCGTACCGGAGCCGGGCCTAGTGTGGGGTTTTGAAATGAATCAGGGAAGACAACGATGGCTGCTCTGGCCTATACATTATTGAGAGGTCGAAGAACAAAGTTGATGATCCTCCCAACAGTTTGGAAAAAAAAAATTTTTTTTTTGATTGATTACATCATACTACCCTGAAGTCTTACCCTAGTGGCCGACTATACGAGTTACGTAATCTATCTAATCCTTTCAGCTAATTATATGATCTCAAATAAATGAGACTATATAAGTCACCGTCATGGTTCTACGTTTTATTAAACTTGATCCTTAAAAGAAAATAAACTTTATTACTAAAAACCCCCCTTTTTTTTATTATTTTTTTTTTTTTTAAATTTTTTTTATTAAATTTTTTTTTTTTTTTTTTTTAAAAGAACTTAATATTATTTAATAAGTCTTATACTTCTTATAAAGTCTATCGCTATAGAGATATAGCGTAGCTTTTATTAGTATATCCTTATAAGTAATAACTCTCTCTTTTACTTTCTTCTCTCTTTAATTTATTATATTTCTCGCTTTTTTACTAAATAATCTATATTCGTAAAGAATATACCGAGTCGTCTACTTCGCTTTACACTTATATTCTTTATTCTCTATATTTAATACTTATCGATTATAAAGAAAGATCTTAAGATCTATTTTCTTAATTCTTATTTATATTATTAGCGATGTCTTAGCGCGCTTAACTCTTAAATATAGAAGTTATATTTATTTTAACGATATTAATTAAATTCTTCTAAGAATATCGCCTCGCTTCTTATTAGTTTATTTAATAGTCTATTATTTTATCGCGTAATTTCTAATAGCTATCTTAATTGTCGATATTATTCTTATCTATATAACAAGTAAAGGCCTATGAATTAAATTCATGGAGTTGGATTTTTCTAAGTCAAATCGAATTTTAGCCCTAGCCCTAAGTCAAATCGAACTCTGATCGCTTGCTGTGCGTTTTTGACCTACTTCTACTACTATAAAATTGATTTAATCTATATAGTATATAGGTATATATGTGCGGAGAGAGGCGCGCTAAGGCCTAATTAGGAAGGTGTAATAATTGCTTATAAAAAATAGAGAAAGGCTATGTTCTTATAATAAGAAGTATCGAAATATCGAAAAGAAATGGAGATAACGTGCTAATTAGTGGTGTGAATCCCACAATATCTCCTGCCGCAGTGAAATTTTTCGAATAATGAAATAGCTGTAGACATCGGACGATTTTAATTCGTTTAAATATGCATCGTTCCGGAGTGATGATTTGATGTGGAACCGTGGAGAGTATATGACGTGGGATCTTGGAGAGCTGTCTTGACGATGGTGGCCTTGTTGCCGCTTGGTTTCTCCGTAGTGTTCTCTATAGTGTTCTCCGCAGTGTTCTCCGCATTTGTCTATTGTAGTTCCTCCTCTTACTCCTTAATGTAGTGGGGATGATAGGCTAAGTTGTAGTGGTGTTCTTCGCTTGCTGAGTGATGATTTGATGTGGAATTGTGGAGAGTATATGACGTGGGATCTTGGAGAGCTGAGCCGTGTTCTTGACGATGGTGGCCTTGTTGCCGCTTGATTTCTCCGCAGTGTTCTCCGCATTTGCCTGTTGTAGTTCCTCGTCTTACTCCTCCTCTTGTAGAGTATCAGATTGAGTGGCTAGCTGAGTGGCTGACTGAGTGGATAACTGATATGACGTGGGATCTTGGAGAGCTGAGCCGTGTTCTTGGTGCTGGGGGCCTTGTTGTCGCTTGGTTTCTCCGCAGTGTTCTCCATAGTGTTCTCCGCAGTGTTCTCCGCATTTGCCTGTTGTAGTTCCTCCTCTTACTCCTTAATGTAGTGGGGATGACAGGCTAAGTTGTAGTGGTTTTCTCCGCTTGCTGAGTGATGATTTGATGTGGAACCGTGGAGAGTATATGATGTGGGATCTTGGAGAGCTGAGCCGTGTTCTTGGTGCTGGGGGCCTTGTTGCCGCTTGGTTTCTCCGCAGTGTTCTCCATAGTGTTCTCCGCAGTGTTCTCCGCATTTGCCTGTTGTAGTTCCTCCTCTTACTCCTTAATGTAGTGGGGATGATAGGTCAAGTTGCAGTGGTGTTCTCTGCTTGTTGAGTGATGATTTGATGTGGAACGGCCAAGTTGCAGTGGTGTTCTCCGCTTGCTGAGTGATGATTTGATTTGGAACCGTGGAGAGTATATGACGTGGGATCTTGGAGAGCTGAGCCGTGTTCTTGACGATGGTGGCCTTGTTGTCGCTTGATTTCTCCGTAGTGTTCTCCGTATTTGCCTGTTGTAGTTCCTTCTCTTACTTCTTAATGTAGTGGGGATGATAGGCTAAGTTACAGTGGTGTTCTCCGCTTGCTGAGTAATGATTTGATGTGGAATCGTGGAGAGTATATGACGTGGGATCTTGGAGAGCTGAGCCTGTTCTTGGTGCTGGGGGCCTTGTTGTCGCTTGGTTTCTCCGTAGTATTCTCCGTATTCGCCTGCTGTAGTGACTTCTCTTACACTGGCTGAGTGGATTGATGTGAGATCGTGGAGAGTAGGCCTGTTGTGTTACTGCTGCTGATGACTGTCTCCGCAATGTTCTCCGTAGTGTTCTCCGTATTCGCCTATTATAGATCCTTCTCTTATTTAACTGAGTGCGAGGGTATCGAGGGTAAATGTGTTTATATTAGTGGAATTAATAGAATTAATAGAATTAGTAGAATTGATAGAATGATGAAAGAAGAATGATTATATAAATAGGTGGAAGGATTATTATTCGATCCCGGACGCGTTTGGTGTGACTATAATATTTGAATGTTAGTTTAACTTATTTATCGCTGGCTTGAGAGGAGTATATAGGGGAGGATATATCCGTTTAGGCACCTTTTGAGAGCCTTTTAACGCTCTTTTTAAGGGTTTTTTAATACGTTTATAAGCAGTAGTAGATAGCTATTAAGCTCGCTTACGGCCTCGATTATTAATAATAATAGATTCGTTAAGAGATAGTTTAAGGGCGTTAGTAAGGGGCTCTAATTAGATTAGACGAGGGGTATCGAAGACGATTATATTTATATTAATAGAATTAATAGAATTAATAGAATTAATAGAATTAATAGAATAGTAAAAGAATAATAAATAGATGAAAGGATTATTATTCGATCTCGGACGCGTCTAATGTAATTATTATAACTATTATATTTAAATATTTATTTTATTCATTAATAGTAAGTTAAATTTCATTATTTTTACAGCGTTAGAAAGCGTATACCGAGTTCTATAATTTACGAAATTATAAAGAAATAGTATTCGTAGGGAGCTGGTTATTTTAGAGTGTAAAACTTCTATATATAAATTTTTAATAAGGAAGCTTAAGAGGGCTAGCGGGCTAACTTAGTTAGTCTAGTCAAAAGGCGTAATAACCTCGAATTGATAATTGGCTGCATATATAAATTCAAGGTTTTCAAGCTTAGTTCTATCTTATTCTTTTATATATATTAATTAATAATTAAACTATTTCGTTAGTATTTATCTTTACTCTTTTATTATAAACTACTCACT